AACCATAACACCATCAGATACAACCGATGGTCGACTCATCGGAAACTATTTCCAGGATTCTTTAACTTACTCCATGCTAGATCACTTAAAATCAAACGTTGGTGTCAAGATTATGGTGTTTACACCGGCTGGTGCCTTCATTAATGTAACGATGAAACACAAGGTTGAAGATGATCAATTCTATGTCCAGTTATCGAAAGCTGCTGCGCTTGAAATGTTTGACAACAATGGTGTTGAAACCACAACCAAAACCACACAACAAAGAAAACAGAAAAGAAAGAACTCATGATTTACCCTGGTTCGTTCCAATAAAGGAATTACATCTACCATTCAAATAGGAAATTTTATTGAGTATCAAAACTCAACAGCAAATACAAAGCAGATGACAGTAGTTCACTCTCACTCCTTATTTTTCACACTCTAGGTTTATCGTTATTACAAAATACATATAATAAAAAATCTAACCCCATTTAGATTTACCTAAATCTAATCCGGCTGGACCCAAATATTAGTATAAACCAAATGAGTTGTCATAAGCCAAGCGAGACCTCCCAATGAGTCATTGTAAACCGATAATCCGTCAAGACTAAGAGAAGTATAAACTATATCTAATAAATGGATATGTAATGGACGATGAAATATACTGTTGGTGTGTGCTTCTCAGCCAAAGCCACCATTCCATCCCCCTGGACATGGTGTAGAAGAAAAGCTCAGCATTCTTATTCAGAAGGTAAGAATTGAATACAGATATATTCACTGCAAATATATTTCAGGTGATTACATATCCGTTAGTGTATTCCTTCAACATCAAGAGAGTTTTACATGATATATAATGTTAGTCTCCCCCCTAGTACTTCTGCAAAATCAGATACAGATATGGGTTTACGATTCCCTAAGGAAGCAAATACTTATTAATGAGTATTTTACCTGAGTCCATGAAAATTAAATCACAGAACAAGGACGGTGTAAAGGCTTAGGGTTCAATCAGTTTTATGTGACTTTTTTTTTTTTTTTTTTACCAGGGTGTCCGGGTCAGCTTATACGCACCAAATTAACCCCCCAAAGGACAAGTAACATTATGGTTTTTTTTTTTTTTTGTTTTTTTTTTATTTTTTTTTTGCGGTAACTAGGGTGTCCAGGCCAGTTACACGACCCAACTAATCCCACGAAAGGATAAGGTAGCATTATGTTTTTTTTCAATAATGGGAGAGTCTAGGCCAACTTACACGCACCTTAACTAATCATTGTGATCCATTAAACACCTTATAAGCCCAAAGGATCAGGTAAACCATAATATTGTTATGGTAGGTAGCCTCAAGGTTTGAACTTATGAAGAATTCAAAGAAGAGAGCAAATCTTCTTGACCGTCAAGCCAATCCCTTAGGGTTAATTTTACGTGACTTTATTTAGTTGAGCAATTGAATTTGTATTTTGCATGAATCAAAATCATGCAAATAGTTTGTCAAATTAATTCATCCCAGATTTGAAGTACTTACGTATATAAATAAAACTAAGAATTAATAATCATATATATATTATTCTAGAAAAATATTTTTTAAAAGAGGTATAGCATGGCAAGTAATGATCCTCCTCTACCCCAAAAAATTCAGAACTACCCTCGAGATAGGAAGTTAAACCATTTATTCTCGAAAAAAATAACAGAGACAGAAGATCTGAAAAGAAGTATCGCGTTTCTGAACCGAGGAAATGAATTTATTCGGAACAATGTATCGGAGTCTCTGCAACAACGGTTCGTAAAAAACGGTGTATCGGTGAAGGTTTACGCGCCAAATGTCGATGATCTTGAAGTGACAATGAGAAGAAATATGCGTGGAAGGCTACCATGTTTCAGTGTATCGTTTAAGCAAGCATGGGTTAGAAAGCTTGGTTTAAGATATGGCGATGAGATTAACTGTTGGTGTATACACCACAAGCCACAGGAAGGAGTTGGAGAAGAAGAAGAATTTAGCCTTCTGGTTGAAAAGGTATTACAAATTAAATTTGCTTAATTAATTTATTATTATTATTATTATATTCAATGCTTATATGTAGTTAATTCAAGTTCATTTTTTAATTTGTTTTTTTGTTATATGCAATTTAGGTGGATTAAGTTGAGCAAGAAGGTGGAGGCCGAATGGTACGATAGGAAAACCGAACTCAATACTTATTGAGTAATACACTCAAGAGTCCATATCGTGGGTATACCCTCCCGTAACCACTTTTATTAGCAATCGAAAGAAATCGAACTCAAGATTTATTGATTAATACATATTATTATTATTAATTAAATAATATGTTTGCTATGTGCCCATCTACTTAATTATATGATTAATAATGTTAAGGTAGTGATTGTTTTATTTATTTATTTTAAAATATTAATTGCTACTAGTAACTTAATTATCGTTTATATATACATGTATTAAATCCCTTTTTGTGCCCCTTGATTGAGGATTTATGTTAATATATATTGTCCTTTTTATAAATTAAAAAAAAAAAAAGCATAGAAAAATTGGGAATTAATTTTTTTTGGGAAAAAAAAAAAGCTGTATATATGTATTTAATTATGCGTTATTAGAACTTGAAAGTCATATTTAATGTATAATAATATAATAAACAATTATAAGGGTCAAATATAAGAAAATTAATTAAATAAATAATGGGTTACGATTAATCGAAGAAACAATCAATTATTTTCAGAATATTTTGTATCCATTGCTAAATTAAGTATCAAAAGATGGTATTAGGGTTTGTGTTTTATACACCGCTTGCCTCTACTTATGTAACGATGAAATTTAGGGTTGAGTTTGATCGAAATGTATGCTATTGCATAAACTTTAATAATTTATTTATTTATTTATTTTTGGATGATCGGGTTTGTACGATTCAGTTTATTTTCACTTTAATTAATCTTTTGAGTCTCTTAATTTGACGACTAGTTAAGCCTTTAAGTGGCCACCCTTATTAGGGCTTGTGAAGACTCAAACTCAAGAGCTCATAAAACTTTTTTTTTTTCTTTTACTATCAGGCTACCTAGTGGTGGTTAGATTTTTAGTTATAATTAATATCGTGATATTTGGGTGATATTATTTCATTGAAACCTTTGAAACATTGTTGAATAACATCTTCATACTCGATTCAAAGGTTAAATGGGGTAACATCATCTCATTACTATTTCAGTTTTCTAACTACTTTTGTCATGCTAGACCAATATTAAAAGTGTATATTAATCCCAAGGGGTTGGCCTGAAGGTAAAAAAAGTTTGCTCTCTTTATTGACTTCTTAGGTTCGAACCACTTTAGAGTCATCTACTATATTTGTGATTTACCTTAGAACATTAGATATTTGTTTTAAAACCTGGACCAGATCGGTCGGTTAGACTGTTTGATTGGGACCCGGTAGCTTATCTGTTTTGATTCAGGTTTCAAGGGGGGTTTTGTAATATTTCAAATTTATAATGACTAATTTGTATTTTTCTAGGGGTGTTTTGGAGATATTTCAAAAGTTTAGGGATTAATGGATAATTTTTTGGAGGTATTTTTGAAATAATTAAAAGTTTTAGGGACTTATTTAAAATTTTAGGGGTGTTTTTGTTATATACTATAATTTAAGAGATTAATGGGCAATTTTTAAAAAATAAAATTATTGCTGACATCATTGGTCCAACCGGTTGGACCGGTTGACCCATGGCCCGGGCAGCAGAACGGGTTACCCTCTAGTCCAAGTTTTAAAACAATGCATTAAACTTATATAGTGTTTAAAAGGTCTTGAGGATTACTTGAGGTGCATACAAGCTGGTCTACACATTTCAGTCATAAAAAAAAATAAAAATATTCACATATTATCTATTGACTATATATTTTCGATATGATTTTTTAGGTCATCGCATAAATACTTGCTTCCTTGGAGGTAGAACGAGCGTTCTACTAATACACGTTTTTATATCATACAATTTCATTAATTTAACTTTATTTATATTTGGTCTAAAAATTTTAGACTGAAAATTAAAAAAAAAAAAAAAAAGTATATGAATATAAAATTTGAAGAGAGACAATTGAAATAGTATAAAAATACAGGGATTCTCCTTGTAATTTACCCACCTTTCAACATAATTTCAAATTTTATCCTCTACGATTACCCTAAAACGGCAATCCAACACACTCCTAATCACACCCTTCCATCCTCCATCAGCACCACGTGCACGGCCAGAAACCCCCCAAAACCCATCACAAAACATTCAAACAAAACAAAAACAGATAAAACAAAACACAAAACAAAACCTGATTGGCTACGCCCTCCATATATTCAAGTTTCGCGGCAACGCCTCTTCTCTTTATCAAAAAAAATTCACATTCACTCTCTCTCTCTCTCTCTCTCTCTTCATAAAGTTTTGATTTTTGTTTTTGATTTTGGTTTTTTTTTTTTTTTTTTTTAAATTTTCGTGTTTTGATTTCTCTAAGATTCTTCCTCCCTGTTTGTTTGAATGATTATCGATTTCGACCACAGATCGCGAGAGGTTCAAAAGGGGCGGTATGTGTTGCGTCTTGGATTTAAAAATTAGGGTTTAAACTACTGACAATGAATGAAAGTAAAATATTTTTGGTTGTGTTTTTTTGAATTTTTGGTGAAATTTTGAAAATTGGGGTCTGGAAAGTGTGGTGTTGATTGGAAGGGACGATTTCGTGAAGTTATATGGTAATTGGGTTTTTGTTACTGAATTTGAATTTGGGGTTTTTGTGAATTAGCGTGAAATTTGAATTTTTGCGGTGTTTTTTTATGAAAGGGGTTTTTGTTGATCTGTTTCTGTGTTTTGAACTGCGGTTGTGTTTGGTTTTTAGTGAATTTTGGATTTTGGGTGTGTTTTTGAATTGTCTGATTTGGTTCAAATTTTGTTTTTGTTGTTTCTGGAAGTGGTTTAGGATGTCTTATGTTTTCTTAACAGCAGGTTTGAATTCATGATAAAATTTTTTTTGAAATTTTTGTTGTTTTTGAAAGTGTTATTTTTACCGATTTGTTAGTTAATTTGAAATTTTGGTTTTTGAATGTGTCTGATTCGGTTCAAGCTTTTGTTTTCTGAAAGTGTTACTGGGTGTTCTTTTATTTTCTCGAAACAGTTTTTGAATCTAAGCTTCATTTAGGGTACTTGTAGTGAATTTAAATTGGGGGGTATTTTGATTTGCAATGCTGCGATTTTTAATGGGTTCTAAGTCTTAATCTTTTCTGGGATTGCTGTTTTCATCGATCTATTCTCTTACAAAATACTTCTGCTGTGTGTTGTACCTTTTGCTTTGAGTTTTTGTACTTCTGGTACCTCTGGTTGATGTTCAATTGCTGATGAATGCATCCATGAAGTGAAATTTGTAATTCAGAAAGTGTCTTTATTTGGATAGTACATACTGGTGCCTTTTGTTTGCTAATTTATTGTTCATTCGGTTCAGCTAGAAAAGTTTGTTGATGGCCCCAACGAGAAAATCTAGAAGTGTGAATAAGCGATACGCAAACGAGGCGTCTCCCGTTAAAGATGTCAGCAGTTCAAGCAGAAGTAAGCAAAAGGTGAGTCTTTGATTTGTTTCTGCTGAAGGAAACATTTTTTTTTGTGATAAAAGGCTTGCCAATTTAGGGAAGGAGCAGAATTCAGACAAATGTCTCCTGTTTTAGTGAAGTCTTGAAAATCTTCGTTAGAAGAAATCTCTACCTCATGGAATTTTTTTTAAAATTTTTTTTTTTTGGTTGGGTACTGCACACCTATAATGCACATTTTGTTGACTATTTCTCTTTCAATGTGTTGACTATTGAATCTTTTGCCTTGAAGAAGAAATTGTCTGATAAATTAGGACCTCAATGGAGCAAGGGGGAGCTTCAGCGTTTTTATGAAGCTTATCGAAATTATGGAAAAGATTGGAAAAAGGTATGTTTAACATGGAATATTTTATTCTGTAAATTTCCGTGTCAAATGCTAATTTTGAATATTTTTTTGGGGTCATTTTAATAGTTGATTTTTTTCTCTATGTTCAGGTGGCTGCACAAGTTCGTAACAGATCTGTTGAAATGGTGGAGGCCCTCTACAATATGAATCGGGTAAATTTAGTCCTGCAATGCTTGCTTAGTTAATTACTATATTAGTAGTCGTCATCACTGTTTCTGCTATGGATGCTGTTGGCTGTATGTATTGGTGTTTCTTCATATATCTTAATCTTTTGATTTAAAAAAAGTAATGTTGCTGCTCACACACAAGTCTTGTTATACAATATATATCTGTGCTCAGGATTTTGCGGTCACTGAAGGAACTGATTTAGCTGAATATAATATTAGGAATTTTGATTCCATTCTTGGACTTGGCCCAATTTACTCTTTTCATGTTTGGGATGTTGTGTGAACTATTATGATCTACAATATGGATTTGTATGCATGGAAATTTTCCGGTTTATTAGTGCTAATTCTGAGTTGTTGCAGAATAGCTCAACCCTTGAAATTCTTAGAATGAAACTATATTTCACTCACGATTGAGCTTATTTTGATTTTCAGGCATACTTGTCCCTGCCAGAGGGAACAGCATCTGTGGTTGGCCTTATTGCAATGATGACAGATCACTATAATGTCCTGGTAAGATTTGATCTATGGTCTTGAGATGTCAACTGAAGTTTCCATTGTGACGCTGAGCGTTATTGTGAATATCAGTGAATTTCTATTTTCTTATGTTTGTGTTTGTAAGTTGATATGGTTGTAGTTTTTGTAAAATTTATTAGCATTGCTGGAAATAGATAGCATTGTTGTTTTGTGTGTATTGATATGGTTGAATGTCCTGTCAAAGCCTATTCTCAGTGTTCAAGAGGATAGAAACTCAAATATGTTACAAAAAAAATGTTTTCCAAGTGAAGAAAAAGCTATAGCTGTTACAAAATAAAAAATTAATGACAACGATGTGCATTCGTAGCCTTTTTTTTCTTTTTCTTTCAAAACTAAGTACTTTTATTTTATTAGTCAAGAATTATAACGCTGGTTGACTGACAACTACCTTACCACCGAAGAAATGATAGAATTGACGCCATTAAATAAAATTACACTCTTCATAGCAATTCAAAGATGTGTGAAAAAATTTCTTTTGTATGTACAATATTTTGAATTTTGTTTTTTTAAATGAGGTAGTTTGACTTGAGTCTGGGCTTGCTATATACTGACTAGATGGACACTTTTTGGGTTTGGAACTGACAGGAAGGCAGTGATAGTGAACGAGAGAGCAATGATGCTTCTAGCATACCACAAAAATCTCAGAAACGCAAGCGAGGGAAACATCAGCTAGGTGCCTCAAAAGAAGATGTTTTAATGTCTTGGTCAATGGCATCAACTGATGGATGCCTATCGTTGTTGAAGAGAGCACGCTCAGATGGTAACACCTTGCTTTTGAGGCTAGTTCAGAAAGAGCAACTTTTTGGTTTTTCTTCAATTTGTTATTTATGTTCCTAATTGGAAGTACCTGTACACTACTTTATTGCTTTTATTCGTTTACTACTAATGAGAGGAGTATTATAATTATTGCAGGGGTGAAAGGAGTGCATAAATGACTTCTTAGTTTAAGGTAATTGAAGGAAAGGGAAAAAGAAAGAAAAGGAGGGAGCAATTATCTCTGTGGACTAGATGATTAGATATATTAAATGAATGTCTTCATGGATGTCGAATGTATTTCATGGACGATCTTTTTGTAGGAGATAATTGTTTATGGACTTCTTTTCTTGTCTCTGTTGACCTTTTGGATCCTTAGTCTTATCTGTATGATGTTGTTCTGTTTGGTATAACTGATACTTGAAGAATGATTTCCTATTGGACCAGACAAGTTTTTGGGTGATGTATTGCTAGTTTGAAGAACAGTTGAAAGGAAGTTAATTTTATCTTAAAATCATATTCTACACTCATATTCAATGGGCACAAGAGAGGTTATCTTTGTTGTTGATTTTTTTAGATATTTAATTTAATCCTTATCAGCAGTGATTGTCTTCAGTGCAGTGAGAATTCCTGCTTATTGAAATCCAGTAGAAAATGGCAATTGTGCAACTTGACTTTTTCTGCATGATGTTAAATCTTTATTATTTCCCAGTTATCTGTACCGTAGGCATAGGAAATACTGTTGTAACTTTAAATATTTCCTGTAAAGTGCAAAATGATCAGAACACAACTTCTTTTTTAATATAATCATTGCAGCAATGGTTATCCACTTGAAGGTTGGGTTCCACTTCTAACAGTTCCATATTTTTCTTAGGTAGTCAGCCTCGTGCAGTAAAGAAAAGGACACCTCGCATCCCTGTTTCATATTCTTATAAGAAAGATAATAGAGTCAATTATACTTTACTGAATAACAAAAAGCAGGAGTCGGAAGTTGATGCTAATGATGATGAGGTTGCACACGTGGCAGCGTTAGCATTAACTGAGGCATCACAAAGGGGAGGATCTCCACAAGTTTCTCAGTCACCATACAAAAGAACAGAGCATGGAAAATCCTCACCAGTTCAGAGCTGGGATAAAACAGTATTTGACGTTTATATATATCTTTTGTTATGTCTTTTCTGTTTTCACAACTAAAATATTATTTTGTAATGAGGGGTATGTTTTTATTTCTTGTAGACAGCTCATGCCAAACTTTGTGCTGCTTCTCTGTCTGAAGAAAGATCTCAAGGTAGAACGGGAAGCAGAAAACCTGAAAATGGTTTTTCTGCTAGAGATAGAAGTTCAATGCCTATGGAAGGTGTCGGTACAGTTGAAGTTCACAGAAAGGGAAAAAAGATTTACAGAAAGAAAATGAAAGTTGAAGAGGTCAGAAACAGTCTGTCTGATGATGGGGCTGAAGCATGTAGTGGTACTGAAGAAGGAACGAGCGCTCTAAAGGGTAAAGCTGACACAGAGGTTTTAAATGCAAAACATGAGCGATTCCCTCCAAGAGGTCAGAGGAAGAAAAAGAAGAAACTTTTCTTTGGAGGTACAAAACCACAGAGCTGTTCAGTTTATAAAATTTGTAGTTAAATTAGTCCGCATAATTAAACATATTTTGCCGCAAATTGTTGGCTGTTGACCAGAAAGGAAGAGAAAAATAAAATCAATACGGATTGCTTTTGAGGTTTTATGCTTTGGTCAATTATTATGTCTTACTACAGTAATGTCTTGATCTATTGTCCAAAGCATGGTGCACAAATTTGTTAAATGTAATGGTCTCCCTGAAACTATGTCCTGTTATGAGCAAATTTATTGGATCTTTCTGCAACTGTGTGTCAAAGTTGCCATCAACATCTAATCCTTTTTTACTCTTCATTCAGATGAAAACTCCTCCTTGGATGCTCTGCAAACGTTGGCTGATTTATCCTTAATGTTCCCAGACTCTACAATGGAATCTGGTATGTTGTCAATGCTTATAGTATGACTTTCTTTATAGGTTTTTCTTAAGAATGAAATATGGTTGGAAGGAATAGAAAGAACTAAAAAGATAGTGAATATGTTTTCAGGAAATCATGATGGCTATAAACACTTTAGTTAATTATCATTGGCCTTCTAGTGTTTTAGATATTTAGTGCTTCAAGTTTTTGTTGTGATTTCTATTCTTCCACACTTATTTTTACTGAGTATTGCAGTAAGCAATTTTTGGCAACTCAAGATTTAATAGCATCAAAATTTCTAATGATGTTATTCAATTTTGGTATTCACAATTAACTTGTTTTTTTTTAATAGCCATTTCTGATCTTAGCTAAGTTTTTTTTCATTTGGTTCTTTTAATTTTCTGCTTGTGTACTTACAAATGAAATACTGATTTATTTCCTTCCTTTTATTTGCCTTCTTGTTTTGTCCAGAAGCATCTTGGTAAGGATGATAAGTATAGTTAAAAAGAAAAAAAAAATGAAATATAGATATATTACATTTTGTATATTTGTCTTCATGTTATGTACAGAATCATCTGCACAGTTGAAGGAAGAAAGAACTGTAACTGATATGGATGACAAGTCTAGTGCACCTGAAGCTACATCTACTAGTATTCCTGATAAACTTTCCGGGCCCAAAGAGAAGGCAATGAGAACTATTACTGAAGTGGAAGGTGTTATCCCAAGAAAGTCTAAACAGGGAAGATACTCAGATATTGATGTTGAAGTTGTCACAGAGGCAAAAGAACAGCCAGAGCCTCTAAGTAATTCGATGAAAAAAAGGCGCAAACCTATTTTCACAAAAAAGGTAATTATCAGGGCTGCAATTGATTTTCTGTGATCGTCTATTAATTGTTTGGTTTAATTGATAAGAGCCTATTTTTGCATGTTGCAGTCTTCAAATGCTGAAGCTCTTGCAGATTCTCATTTGAATAGAACTTTGGAGAGTGAGGTATGCAAAAAATTAAAATTTGAAGTAGCACAGTTATATCTGTTGACATTTCCATTTTAGCAATGTACTTTACTGTTAATATTGTATCATCTCCTAGCTTAGATAGTATGAGAAAGAATTTTCTTAAAGTTTTGTACAAGCTATTATTCTTTAAGTTATGCTTATAACATGTGGATTCATTATAACACGGTCTCCTACTTCTGTAGGGCCTTTGTGGTTAATGCTTATGTTTCCCAATGATTTGTTTTCCTCTATATTTTAAAAACGTGGGATTAATGAATTATGGATGTAGTAGAATACAAGCATAATTTTATTGCACTTGCTTGCAAAGATCTCTCGTTTCATTTTTTCTTTTCATATATATGACAATTTAACTATATTTCCCTTCATTTCCTTTCCAAATCTACTGTAGGCCTCACCTGGAGGAGATAGTAAAATTTCTATTAAGGGTAAGCGCACCAACCAAGTTTCTGCTCAGTCGAAGCAATGGAAACCGGGTAGGGTATTGGAAGCTTCTGCTATTAGTAGTGATCAGAAAAGAGCAAGGATAGATTTAGTGGCATCAACTGCACAACTTCCTGCTGCAAGCCAAGGTAGCAAGCAAAGAAGACAAAAGATGCATTTACAGAGGAAATTTAGTTCAAAAGAGCTGAAGCCTTCTGAGAGCATATTGAAAAACCAGCCAAATAAATGCTTAATCTCACAACAAGACAAGGTTATCTCTCCAAAGGTAAAGCCTTTTTATTCTTTCATGTGTTTGAGCAAGGGCTATGATGAGAGAGAATACAGGGCAAAACTGGACACTTGCTGTCAGTTATTTTTCCCAGTCTTTTAAAGTTTAGGGCATTTCTTTATTGTTTATGTTTTGTATGCACAGGAAAACCTTTCTTGTTGCTTGTCATCTGAATTGGTGCGTAGATGGTGCACTTTTGAATGGTTCTACAGTGCAATCGATTATCCTTGGTTTGCTAATAGGGAGTTTGTGGAGTATTTGAATCATGTTGGACTAGGGCACATTCCAAGGCTTACTCGTGTGGAATTGGGTGTCATAAGAAGGTGTTTCTGAGCTTCTGTGTATTTACTACTGCATTATGTGTTAATAATGAAAACAATAATTTACATTGCAATTGTTAGTTGATGCAGTTCCCTTGGCAAACCTCGGAGGTTTTCTGAACGCTTTCTGCGTGATGAAAGAGAAAAACTCAAACATTACCGGGAATCAGTGAGAAAACATTATGCTGAACTTCGGACTGGTATTAGGGAAGGACTTCCAAGAGATTTACCACGCCCTTTATCAGTTGGACAGAGAGTGATTGCAATTCATCCTAAAACAAGGGAACTGCATGATGGGAGTGTACTCACAGTTGATCATGACAAGTGCAGGGTTCGGTTTGATCATTCTGAGATAGGAGTCGAATTTGTCATGGTAGTTACAGTTTTTGACGTATTGTTGTTATGGTTTCTTCTTATCTTCATTTGGAATATCTTTTTTTCTCATGATCATTAATTTATAGGAGCATAACACAGAGAGAGTTTGTGTGCTAGGTTTTCTGTTAAGGTGGTTTTGAGCTGATTGTGGGTCATATCCTTCAATGTTTAGGCTGACTATCTTTGTTCAATATGTTAAACTAGTTGATCATATCAATTGAAGAAATTATATCGTGTGCCAAGCTTGTAAAATTACTATTCTCAGTAATTCATATATATATGTGAGATAATGATAAAATCTTTGTTACAGGATATTGATTGCATGCCTTCAAATACATTTGATAACATACCAGAAGCTCTGAGGAGACAATTTGTTGCTTCTAATAAGCTCTCCGCAATATCTAAAGAGCCTCAAGTGAATGGACATCCTAATTTTGGTGGACCCATAATATATGCTTCAGGTGGGCATATGGAGAAAGCACCCATTACCATGGACACTTTATTAAAACAGACACAGGTATGAATGCTTATTAAACTTAAATATCAGATTATTTTCAATATTCCCTGAAGTCTGTAAGTTGAACCTGCTGCAGTCATTTTTTTTTTTTTTTTTTTTTTTTTTTTCGTTTGGTTGGTTAGTACAGTTTCAAAATGTTCTAAAAGATTCAAGGTTATTTTCTTGTCTTTCACACTTACTATGAAATTAACTCTAAAACAAAAACAGAAAACCAAATAATGAAAAAGAGTTGGAGCATGATTTTGGACATTATGGATATATGAGATGGTTTTGTACAAAATGGTCTGCTGACTGCCAGCAGTCCAACAATGAAATTCGAAAGGCTGGCAATTCATCATGTGGCTTGAACTTCTTAAACTTTTATCCTCACTCTTGTTTACCACCAAATTTACCATTTGGCCTTCCAAACAATTGGGGGCTCTCATTTTTTACTTCTTACCAGTATTTAGTGGTAAGCCTCCACTTATCTATTCCTCCCATATACTAATTAGTTCATGAGTTATATATTCCTGTTATCAAAGTTTTTGGAGAAGTCAAGTTTTCCGTGAACTAGACAGTTTTACTCCATCAAAAAGAAATAAGTGTCTTTGAGTTGGTCCTGTCACTGTATTGGTTTGAAAATAATTACATGACCTGCAAAACGGAATGAGAGTTATTAGGGATGTCAGCCATGTGCTGACTTAACCCCTTTGATGCTCAAGTTAGTTGGAAGCACTCTCCAAAGGGTAAGGGATTTGGAGAGTTGCCACCCTATCTTAACAACTGCTTTTTGAAGTCTGAAATTCATACATGATGCATTTTAATTGAGTCAGTATTTTTACAGATGACATTAAAAAATTTTGCTGACATTTTGCACAGGGGGATACAAACTGTGCCATTCCGCAAGCAAAATCAGTGGCTACGGACATTGCTAGTGCACAACAAGCCTATGGTCAACCTTGTACGGTGGCACAGATCCAAGAAAGGGAAGTTGATATACGAGCAGTTTCTGAGCTGTACCATTCTCTTGCTAAGAAGGTTATTCTATATAATTTTTTCATATTATACTTGTATGGCTTACCATATGATGATGACTTATATAATTTACTCAGAATTATCCAGCATATCTATAGGAGTGTAACACTATTGAATCATGTGATTTACTTGTATGTCTATCCACTTAGTAATTAATATATCATTGTATTTTGCTTTTCCACATCAGGATTTTTCGGTGTCTTGCATATGTACTAATATGTGATCGTAATGGAATTGCATTAAAAGTGATGACCTCATGGATCCTTATTTTTTTTCTCCAATGCTGTAGGAAGTATTGTTAATGGAACTTAAAAACACTAACAATGACATAATGGAAAGCCATAATGGTGGAGATGGCTCTGTAAAAGATTCTGAACCTCTCAGGAAACATATTGCCACGGTACTTGTACAGCTAAAGGAAGCCAATGGCCAGGCATGTGGCTTCCATAAGTGCTAGTTTTGTGCTTTTCATCTATCTTTCAAATTACATTTCTGTTCTTTGGCCATGTGTCAATGTTTGATTTATTGCTTTCTTATGCAGGCTTCTTCCGCTTTACTTCATTTGAGACAAAGGAATACATACCCTGAAAGCTCCCTACCGCCTTGGCTGAAGCTCCCAGCCAACTCTAGTTTCTTAGGAAGCCTGACAAATACTTTTGATAATTCTTATGCCTCACAAGAATCTGGACCTGCGGTCATTGAAATAGTCAGAGGGTCAAGACTAAGAGCACATACAATGGTAGATACTGCTATTAAGGTATTAAGAGTCCTCTAGTCTCTCTTTGTCAGTGTACTGGTGTGGTTATGAACTCAATTGAAATTCCCATTCTCTACTTTTTATTTGCCAATAAAGTAGTAGTAGTTTCACACCATCAGTGTACTGGTGGATCTTTCTATCCGTTCATGTCTTTTTCTTCCCCTGTTGTGGATTGAATAATTTACATAATATACATAAAGAAACTCCAGAAATTTAATATCTTTCTCTTACTTTGGCGTTACTACTCGCGACTCTTGATTATATTTTATCAGTAGTGCAACTTTGTCAATTTCATTGTTGTTCAGTTTAGATAATTCATATTATTAAGTTTTGTTTTATGGACTGTGAGAATCATCTAAAATAGCTGTCTGCGGGTTGATGCATGCATCAACTGGTTCTTTAGTTGCTGCTGACTGATGCAATTTGCGTTTCAGGCATTGTCATCAATAAAGGAAGGGGAAGATGCTTATATTAGGATTGGAGAAGCTTTAGACCATATAGATAAGCGGCAATTCATATCCGACTCTAGGGTGCCAGTGATCAGGTCTCCAGAGCAGGTCAATGGCAGTTTGAGTCATCACAATCAGTTTGTTTCCGGTGCAGCAGAGCCCCTGCTTACTAGTTATGCATCTGGTCCCAAATTTCAGGATGGTTCTAACAAAAATGAGACACAAATCCCCTCGGAGCTTATCACTTCATGCGTTGCTACAATGCTCATGATACAGGTAACTTGGGAGGTTTTGTTATGACATAAATGCTCCTTTATTGTGTTTGCTTATTCATACAAAAGCGTTCAGACTGTGGAACAGGCTTGCCGTTAAATCTTTATGCCATCTTTCCTTTCTCTGATTTTGTTTGGCCAGTTCTTTTTCATTGCTATGCTGAGAATTATTTTCTGGTAATCTGCAGACGTGTACTGAACGACAGTATCCTCCAGCCTATGTGGCTCAGATAATCGATTCTGCTGTTTCAAGTTTGCATCCATGCTGCCCTCAGAACCTGCCCATTTACAGAGAGATAGAAATGTGCATGGGACGCATTAAGACGCAAATACTGGCTCTGATACCAACTTGAATCTTCCCAGTCTGCACCATCTACCATGTAAATATTTTGGTTAAATCTTGGTTTAGGGTTTAGTTTAGAGCTTAGCTATGAATTTTTGTTTCAACTAATTCAATTAACAATTAGCCATTGTTAGTATCACCCATTAGTAACGTGCCTCAAAAGTATTTAACTGGGCATTTTTTTTTTTCCTCCCATTTCCTCCCATTTATACTTTGTAATGAGCGGCTATTGTAATTCATCCCATTCACAATACTTTTGAGTTGAATGTAATTGGAATTATCTGTCAGGATTAGAACTTTCATTCATTGTTTTAAAACCTGGACCGAAGGGCAACTCGCTTCATTGTTTGGGTCATGGGTCAACCGGCCGGTTAGACCAGTGATGTTAACACAGCCAAACAAAATATCCTTTTTTTTTTTTTTCGAAAATTTCAGAATACCAACTTAATTACCACCCAATTCAAACTCAAAAACAATCTCAACATGATTCAACTATAATCCAAAATCCCTAAACATCATCCATTACAAATTAAATGATAAAATACCTTTGGTGCAAGTGGTTTTTACATACAAATTTAGTGAACAAATTATCTATCAAAGCAATAGATTCATAAAAAAAAAAAAAGTGGAAATATCTTTACAAAAGAGAGAGGCGTCGTCTTTGTTGATTTTGAGCAGGAAAAGTGTTGTCGTCATCGATTCCAACGAAGGAGGGAGGGGTTGTCGTCAAGCAAGGGAGAAGGGAGGTGCGTCGTCGCCGAAATCCAGCGAGTGAGATGTTGGGAAAAGGGAGGTGCATCGCTATTGAAATCCAGCGAGGGAGGTGTTGCCATCGCCGAGCGACGCAATCCAACAAGGGAGGTGTTGCCGTCATCGAGCAAGGGAGAAGGGAAGTGCATTATTGCCGAAATCCAGCGAGGGAGGTGCTGCCGTCGTCGAGCAAGGGTCCAAGGGAGAGTGGAGTTGAGAGATTGAATTGAGATTGAGTACAGTTACTTTGAGAATGGAGTTGCGATTTTGGAGAGTTGAGAGATTGAAGAGAGTGGAGAAGTGGTGTCGCGTGAAAAATAAATCAGATTTAGGGTTTTTTCATTTTAAACATTGACCCGGTTTACCAAGCGGTCCGGTTTGATCAGGCGCGTCGCACTGTTCATCCGGTTTGATAACAGGTTTAAACGGTTTTTAATTAATAGTGGGTTTTATATTAGTTCGGACCGGACACACAACCAGGTCCTAGTCGAACCGGTTAGACCAGCCGATCCAATCCGACTTTTAAAATAGAGCTTTCATTAGGCAAATACCATTTAAGTCCCTTAATACTGGTTATGGTTCATGGGAGTTTAAGCTTATATTTATCTTGAAATTTTTTCCACGAGGATGAAATTGTAAATGACAAATCAATTAAGGGATGTCAATGATATTAATGAAAACAATGTGGGAGACTGGGTCATTGGGTAATTTTCAAACTACTATTTGCAGAAATATTATACAACTCCATTATGTTCACGAAAATTTTAAAGATGCCATATAGTTAAGAAAATATCAGAAACACCCAGCATTATATAAATGAATCAATGACATTTTCCATTGAAACTTTTCTAAGTGTAGGGTTGTTTTAAGAGCAAGATTGAACTTATTTATTCTATAGACAAAATCCCCATCTCGACTAACATGGAATGCGACATGGAGACTTCTCACGTCAGTCGAGATGGGGAGGCAGGTCCGTAGGTGTAGTATTTTTCTTATTTTAATCTCACCAATGTGAAAACACGTAAAAATACCCTAATAGTTTTGTATTTCGCAAAAATAACCTTATCAATAGTGATTTTTGTGGGTTCTTATAGTTATATTTATTTTAAATCCAGAAATTCTACAAACTTGCTTTCCAAACAAACCCTAAAATCTTTTGAATATTATCTTTGGGAACCATTTAGTACACATAAGAGAACTCGAACCCGAAATCCCGATCATCCGACTAAGCCTTGTGAAGTTATTTAGCTTCCACACTAAAATTTACAAACCTTACAATCTTTGAGAACCAAGAGAGTTTTCTTATTCTAGACTTCAACCGTGTAAGCGCCCACAAGAGAACTCAAACCCTAGTCGCGGCTAATGCCTCGTGGGTGTTCTTCAGCTTTCTTCTTGTTGAGCTGTAATGTTTACTTTGCTTTTAATTATTTTATTTGCAGATTTATTTAAGGTACTATTTAACAATATTAGAATGGTGTAACCGTGTAAGTATGGCAATAACAGTCACATTTTAATTGAATTAAAAAGCAACAAGATTTATCTTTCTGAGACAAAGCTATACACATTATAATGTGCCAAACCCAACGGCTTTCACATAGTAAAAGGTTGGGCAGAAACGAACCCCTGCAAGAACAAAACGACCCACAGAGAGAGATAGACAGAGAGAGAGAGAGAGAGATCCTTCCATTTAGCAGAGAGAAGCTAAAAATTGAATTACCCACCACTTTCTACATAGGCCCATCTGCAGCATAGGGGTGCTGCTACATACATTTTAAACCTTTTTTTTTTGGGACCTCATTTTTTTGTTAGCTAGCACTAGACACAAACATGGCAGCTGCTCCGGAGCAGCAATTGGGTTATAAAAATGAAGGTAAAAAGAAATCGAATGCGCACAATATACAAATTCTTTTTTGCTCTTTAAAATTTCTACTCTAACAATGGGAAGGGCTCGGACACGTCACATGCAGCGGCCCATCAAATCAAAGACGCGTAAGAACAAAGCATACCATTCACCATGCAAAGCTGGGACGGAGGGCTTTGCATATAAAGAGAGGCAATGTAAGTACCACTGATATTCACAGCAAAGCCCTTTGTGCAAAATGGTCGACGGGATTCCAGCTAAACACCGAGCAAGAACCTAAAAACATCACTCAATGAGATGATACCTTCTACACGCTTGCTGCCTGCCTCAACGATAATAAGTCTCCTAACCCCTGAAACCAAACAAGAATTGATCTGTGAGTACTATATAAATAAAAGGAAAGGGAAAATTTTGTGTGATCTGCTATAAGAGCTGTTGGTGTTATTTTAAAACAAACATATCTGAAAACAAAATGGTTAAAATGAGGGGAAAAAAAAAAGTACCAGGATTTGCCAACCGCTCCATCACTTTCTGTAAAGGATCAGATCGCAAACACATCTGACATCTCTGTCCATTGAAGCCATATGAAGGATTTGTATCTTGTCCCAGTTGCAACGCCTACAAGAGTAAAGAAAGCCAGAGAAGAACACTTAGTATCGTACAAGAAGGTTGCATAATGCATATTAAATATGAATTAAGAGATGATAATTCACACAAAGGAGGTATTGTGTTGAAAATCAGTTCTGTTAATGCCCTGATTTTTGTTAATTACTCTGAGTTTTGTTAAATCTGTTATTGAAATTGCACAAACATTCTTTACAGTTTTCTAGTTCTTTAACCCAATGGAAAACACTCAACTATCATACCACCACATTCCTTTGTAGTGCAGTCTCATAATGAAATCCAGCTATTACCTGATGAATACTCATTTCCTCAAGATGTATCTGAGCATAAACTCTATCCTTCGCCAAAGCAGTGATATCACTGTCAAAGAAGATGAAACATTTATTTAAAAATAAATATATATATTACCTTCCATGCATCAATACAATTGGGAGGAGGTAGACAGTGGGGGAAAAAAGATTACCTTCGTGAATATATATCCACCAACGAGTCATTATCATCCACAATAGGTATTGAACTGACTTCAGCTGCACAAAGGTGTCATGGCACAAGATAACCAAGTCAGTATGAAACATAGTATACTGAGCTAGTTATATTGCATTACACCAGATTTTCTAATCAAACAGTAGAAATAAGCGAATATAGTGACAGAGTGAAGAAATTAAGGCAAGAATTGCAACTGTTAAATTAACCCTAAAGTATATATATTTTAGATAGGAACAAAGAATGATTGTACTGATGAAAGGAAAAAGAACTACACTAGTGGATATCCACTGAAGTTGTCAGATCATCCCTTGAGGCGAAAGACACAAACTATACAAACAAGTCATAGATTTATGAACACTGTGCAGAAGAAAAGTTTGCCTAACTAGATCAATACAATGAAAACAACTCCAAATCTAGAACAAAAACCAATTGGAATCTAATCAAAACCAATTCTACTTAATATGAATAATAACCCTAAATATTATATACATTTGTTGTAGGAAATATTCATCTATCTCACCATATCAGTTAATCACATCCTCGCAAACCATAGAAACAATGCCCTTGACATTACCACATTATTACAGTAACACTTTCTAGATTAAAATAAACAAATGGCAGAGCTAGAAATCCTCTTGTTGGTCAAACAAGTAAGAAATCCCTAATCATGTTCACAATACTCCTAAGAGCTTAGCATGTCCCTTCAGAAAATGCTCAAGAAATTAATTCATTGACACCTCATATCTTTATATATAAAGTTCTCTTTAAGTGTTAGTAAAACAGAAAAAAAATATATATATATTAATAATAATAAAAGTGGGAGAACATGCGCAAATGAAAAGCTAACTGTGTTGAGAAATTTTGGAACACAGAAAAGAAAGAAGGAGACTCTTCGCAAGATGAACAGACTTCATTAAGAAGATTCACTGTTTATTGACTTCCCTCACAGCAATTAAAAGACTGAGTGCAAGCGATGTCATGGCGTGTTAGTGAAGATAAAGTACTATGAGGAATTGAATAATGAGAAGAAAACGGCTACAGGATTAAAGCTGACGTGCATGCTTAAATCTACTTAATAAAGCCTATTTATATTTAAAAAAAAAAAAAAAAAAAAAACTAAGCATATAGTTCAGAAGAAGAGAACAATACCTTGAACTAACAAAGATAGGGCAGCACCGAGTGAAGCATTTGGTCTCAACATTGCAAATGGCCGACCATTTGCTTGCCCAATTTGTGGGACCCATGTACCCAAACGAATTGAAGATATCGGTTGTTGAAGAATGGGCAATGAGCTAGAAGAATGTTTAAAATGCCGACATATACCTGAAGATCAGATTAAGATCAGTAAATGAATCACATTCCTTAACCACCAGAAGATCAGATTAAGATCAGTAATGAATCACATTCCTTAACCAACAAATTCAGAAAAAAGCTTACATTTTAGTATTCCAGACAGGGAGGCAATATGTAGTAGCTGTGGAAATGAACCATCCGGTGATGTTGAATTAATAATGGGAACTGTAGCCACCTTGTTTTGCAAAATTTTCAAAGCAACATCTTTCATAGAATCATATGGACCAGCCTGCTCATTTAGATCATAAATATTACAGTGGTGATTCAATTATGCCAAACACTTTCACTTCAGAAAAAACAGCTCTATCACAAATCACTAGCAGAATATTTCATGATGAACTTCATATATCATGAACGATTATCTTCAGTATAGGAGCTTGAATGATTAATCAATCAAGAATATGAAATGAAGCTTATGCATTTCATACAAAAAAACTTACAAGAGACAGAGGGATGGATGATCTTAAAGAATAAATAGATTAGCTACATTACAAACACAAGGTATTTCACGATTGACATGATAATAGGTTTTAATATGATATCTAGAGTTCAAATGAAGACACCAGCACGTCCATAAAGTAAAAAATGAAACCAAATCAAAGGACAACAGGTTATTAGAGAAGCAAGCAATGCAAAAAGCAAATGCCAACAATCTCCAAATAGGCAACTTTTTCTAGATAATTAGCACTAAAGTATTAAGTGGCTATTCCAGAAACAGTCAACCACCTAACAACAAAAACAAAAATCAGACCACTGAAATAGGAGTTCATCCTGAGGGTTTTCTGTAAAGGGTCAAAACCATTTCTCTCCCTGCAAACAACATGCATAGCAAGTGAACTGCCCAGTACCTTTGGAGTTGCAAGATTTTCCAGAGACATAAATGTGCAGTTTATGTTTAATGAATAGGTATTGAAACTTTTGCATATGAAATTCTCATAAGCATCTGTCATAGGTGTTCACAAATCAGGACACCATCTAGTTAATATGAGGCTATTAACTACCTTCACAAATTATCCGAACAAAGATAAGCAAAAGGAGGAAAAAAAATAAAAAAAAAATAAAAAATAAAAAAGGAGGACTGGAGATTCATATGCAGAGCTAAAGAATTTTGGAGAGGCATCAGAGGAAGCACTCACATGGACAAAAGGTTTAGGATGTGTAAAACCATTGCCTTCAATTTGTCGATTAAGATGAGCTTTCACTTCTTTCCAAGCTGCTATGGTATGTGTCTCTAATTCTTCCTCCGTTAAATTAGATCCATGAGTCCCCAACTGAATTTTTTACAAGGTACATGTTATGCAAACTCTGGGAACATGAAAATGTAACATATACAATAAAGAAATCATCTCCATGTATTTTAGACTCACAAACATAGTGAACATTCAGATTGTGGGTGTTATTTGTGAATATATGTTGTGGCATTGTTTTGGTGTCTTTGTGTGTACAGAGTTTATCCTCATTTGGGTAGAAAAATGTGAAGACAAGAAACTTTACTGATCAAGCATTCTACATTCCACACAAACAGGCAACGAACATTTGACCTATGAAAAACAGTTATAATAGTTCCAAAAAATCTTTTAAGATTACAGATACCAATAATTGTTTAAATGCTAACCACAAGTTGGTGAGAAAGGGGCAATCCAATAAAACTATAGAAGTTTTGCAGAAACGATTGATTCTAAATGTAGTTTTCATAACCAATTCCAATATTTAAACTGGAGACAGACTCCCTGATTGCCCATGCCCACAAGTTTGGCAAAAGTAAAACTGCAATCTTAGTTTCACTGTCTATCATGGGTAATGTCCATCCTAATATACAAGTGTTTAGCTAGTGTATTATATAAAGACAGCATTTCTACCTACGTCGAAGATCATAGCAAAATTCAACTGATGCAAACATCTATAACTGTCTTAAATGTTATTGCAGCATAGATATCATTTGAAAGCAATGCCAAATATTTTATTCTGTACTCACCTCTCTTAAAATCAGGATGAAGTCCAATGCAGTAAGAACTCCAACAAATTGGCCCCTGCAGAAATCCCAGAGAGGAGCCACAGGGACTCCCTGCAACAAATATAAACATCAGAACTCTAGGAAAACAATTAACACAAATTACCAAATAAATAGCACAATAGGCTACTATAAAGAAACAGTTCCAGCAAGAGAAAGGACATGAAGCAGTCTACATATTACTTTATTCTCTATTCACAACTGTGATAATCGTGAGGATGTGCACAGGCGTGTCAATGGGTAAAAAAGATTCACCTGTTCATAGAGAATATGAAATGCTTGTTTCACAGGTAGATTAACATCCAAGGCAATAACCTGCAACATTAGAACCTTTATGAACCTCACATACCAAAAAAAAAAAAAAAAAAAATAAATAAATAAATCATATCCAACAACTTACTATAGAAACAGCTCATAAAGAGGGTAAAGTTTTCAAACCTTGCCTGACTCGGGAAGCAACTCATATGCGGTATGTGTAGACAAAAATACAGATATACGCTGACGAGAGACCCTTAAATCAGCCTCTGAGATTTGTGTAACAGCTTCCTACATAAGAACATATGAAAATGTGACCTACTGTATATAGCAAGATAACAAAGGTGAAATAAACTAATACCAATTGTAACAGAAGTCGACTCCATCTATTTTTATCAGCCTTTTTGAATTAATGCATTATATTAGTCCACTACAAATTTAAAACAGAAACCACAGAGACTAGTAATATCATCTTCACAACTCTTAATTTTTCACCAACTTGGAGTTTTCTCAAGTCAGAGCTCAGGTGAACTAAATAAGTAAACTTTTAAGTCTCATCCTAAACTGTCAAACCTCATGCCACCTTTATGCCACCATTTCTCCAAGCTCTTTGCCATCATTTTAATTTATTAAAAACTTTCTGACGCTATAGCATGGTTGGAGAAGAAACATTTTCCTAAAAAACTTAAAGCCAAAGCCATGGATCTCACAATAAACAAAAAATCCTCTTTAGTAAAAGGAAAATATCCTATTAGTTATTGTAATCTTCAAGTGCTTCTGACCTCCTTTTATATATACAAGGGCAATGGTGTTTTGGTAATTTTTATTTTAGTTCTTATCAGTGTCACTCAGGTTTATATCAGGTGTTATGACTATTCTTGAGTAACGTAGATTAATTTCATTATGTAAAGATCCTGATTCTTGAAGTAATCTAAGTCATAATAGGATAAATAGCAAAGTATACAAACATTCAAACATTGCCTGTGAGCTTTTAAAGTTGACTGATAAGAATATTAGAGACTTTTTTGTGAATCATTGAAAATAATTTTCTAAATGCTTTTCTTTTTACTCACCAAAGCTCAACATGTCATCAAAGGCAATGTTAAGGTACTGTTTGCTGTTGTATTCACAGCAACCAATTACTTCACATTTTTTCAAAATTTTCATAGACAAGCAAATAGATTTAGACAGCCTAATCAAATATCAGAACTTGGATCTAATGTTCCCACACAGTGAAGGCTAAGAACTCTTCAAGGCCTTTGTGATGGCCAATGGGGTTGTTGTGGTAAAGTGAAGGATTACATATCAGGCTACAAGTGCCATCATTTTTCTGGAGGACAAATCATCTAACCATTGGACATGGGAGAAAGCTTCATTTCCCTTTTGCTTTCCCTTTCTGAAAATGGATTCTTTCCTTACAAATGAAATTAAATATCAGTAAGAAATGTTCCAAATCATCACAAACTACCATATAGTAAGCACATAACTGGACCACATATACCTAGAAAGTGAACAAGACATAATAAAGTGAATATTTTTACATAAGTATCTTCACAAAAAAGCTACCATCAACTATGGTCCCAGAGCCAAACACTGGTGGGGTTCTGTTAATGCCGTCTTAACTAACACTTATTACTTTTAACCAACTCGTTTCTCTTAAGTCTCCAATATGAGTACACACACTTGGCAACAAAATAACTTATCACTGCAATAGGAAATTGGCTCCCTTAGGGACATATAGCATGTACAGCTAACATTAAGATGTTATGACAAATTAGGGCCTAATTCCTCCAACATGGTCTATCAGAGGTTCACAAATCCTAAAAATATGGCAACTCAGTAACCCCCTTAACCAAAATGGAAACATAGCTGCACTTATAAAAGTAACTAGTGACTAAAGAAATAGAAGGGCAAGATTTACTGGTCTGATGAACCGGCAAGAAATCAACTTATCGACCAAGCATGAAAGAGTCCCTTACCGGACGCATAATAACATCGTCTACCTCCATGTTACCAGGTATCTCAGGGAGTGAGGCAGTAGAAACCACTACATTTGGTTCCACAGGTACGAGGACGGTATTCACTACCCCATAAGTCCCACTTACATAGTGCTGCTCCTCAACATGATGCCATTCGTCATCAACAAAGAATTTATACTGCATAGAAATGTACATAAAAATCAGTATCCAAGTTTAAAACATAATTTTATCACCCTAATTGAAAGCTTGAGCTGATAAAACAATCTAAACTATAAATAAACATCCATCTGATGTATCCTAGCACTCTTTATTAACAATAAAACCAATGCAGAAATTATTAATAATAAATAAGCTTAATACTTCAGTTTAGGATCTAATAATATTTAGTTAATTAACCTGGTGGTATCCTGGCGGCAACCTGCAAATAATCTGAAACACATTAGGACATCCTTCCAACGGTGACATAGGCATATGCTCTGACCACCTGTTTTAAAATTTCAGCCGGAACCATATCAGATACCCACTTTGAATACTAAAAAACAATCAGAAAACCTAAACAAAAAACACCATAAATCATAATATCAATAAGCCAATAACTAAGCAGCTAATAATAGTAATTAAAAAAAAAAAATAGAATCCAAATCCAGGTAATCATACACAATCAAGATAATTTTGTTTCATTCACTTACCCAGTAAAAGAGCCACTGAGAAACACCCTTCTCCCTCCATGCGGCCACACAAACCGAACCGGAATCAAAGGCGAACCCGTCACCCCACTATTGTTATGTCCAGTGCCTCGACCAGAACTAAACATTTCGTTCTAAATTTTGTATGAATACTTATCCACACAAATACAAATGCCAATCCACCAAATGCCAATTTCAACACAACCCCACTTGAATTTTTCTTCACTAAAACTCAAAATCAACGAACTATTGCATTTGTCCAACTCATCTTCAAAGCAGAATGACTTAAGATCCCAATTGTTCGTCGATTACTTTTTGCTATACAAGTAGGGATCCTCTACAAGTGAGCAGAGGACCCCTTAATGTTTACACATGCAAAGTCACCCAAAAAAAAGAATCCCTAAACTACAAAAACCCTTGAATTACCAAAATAAAATTCAAAAATCAAAACCCTAAATTTCCAATAGCAAACTGAATTCGGCGCTAAAGCACTAAACTTTTATCACAAACCTACACAATCTTCCACATGCAACCTCAATTCAATTCAAATCAGTCAATCCCAGCTAATCCCGGTCAAAAATTCGATCAAAAGTCAACGAACCAGCCTGCCCACAAAAAACCCCTAAAACATCTAAAAAAAAAAGATTAAAATCAAATAAAACCCGTCCTCTGATCTGGCCTCCAAAATAGAAATTTACAAAAGTTAAAAACTGAATCTAATATCAAAGACCTAAAAACGGAATAAATGCAGTGGGTTTCGTACTAATTTCGGGAAAAAAAAAATGAAGGGGTCAAACAATGAGCCCTAAATCGACAGAAAATGAAATTACAAAAAAGGAACCAAATTTGATCGAGATAAAAGCTGAAAGGAAGTGGGCAATGGTGGTTGGATCTTGAAAGAGTGGTGAATTGAGAGCTGAGTTTGAAGAGTATAAGAAGCAAAATGAAGAAGAGAAGAAGAGACAACGCAACACAAGCCAAGCTAAAAGACGAAAGCTCGCAGAGCAGTAAAAAATGAATGCGACGTGTCGGTTAAGGAGAGGAGTTGTACTTTTTTTATAATTATTTTTTTATTTTAATATTTTCCATTTTTTATGTATGCATACAAAATTTTTATATGATACAAAAAGTTTAAAAATTTTCCATTTTCATCCTTAGAAAGAAGAATAATCCATTTATGAAATTCAGGGTCATAAATTAAATTAAGAGTACAAAGTTTGGCATTTTTTTAAAGGTGGTCTTAAATAATTTTTTATTATATAGAAAATTATGTTTCGTAGTTACTGATTTAATGATTTTTGGAAACTATAAAATATTCTTTATCAAGGTTTAATTATGAAATTCTAAAGCTTTTAACGGTTTTTCATACTCTCAAGAGAATTTAATAATGTATAAAAATTAATCATTTTCATCGTTAGGAAAAAGACTTATCCATTTATGAAATTTAGGGGCATAAATTAAATTTGAGTATAAAGTTTGGTATTTTTCGATAATTTTTTTATTATATAGAAAAATATACTTTATGACGGATTAAAATGATCAAAATTATGTTTCGTAGTGAATGGTTTAATGATTTTTAGTAACTATTAAATATTCTTTATCAAGGTTTAATTATGAGATTCTGATACTTTTAAAGGTTTTTGATACTCTCAATAGAATTTAATAATGTTTAAAAATTAATTATTTTCATCTTTAAGAAAAAAAATGATCGATTTTTGAAATTTAGGGATATAAATTACATCAAGAGTACAAAGTTTGACCTTTTTTTGCGGGATGGTGTCAGATAATTTTTTGTTATATAGAAAATTATATTTTAGGATAGATTAAAACAATCCGATTATGTTTAGTAGTTAGTTATCTAACAATTTTTAGATACTATAAAAATATATACTTATTATGGGGTTTAATTAGGAGATTCTGATGCATTTAATGGTTTATGATAATCAAAGGAATTTAATAATGTTACAAAATTGGTAAAACGTTTAATGATCATCGATCTCTTAAATTTAAATTCATAATATTTTAATCTAATTTAAAAAAAAAATGGATTTTGTGTATATAATTTATTTATTTATTTATTTTTAAATTACTCAATTATTAAACTTATTCATGCTTCAATAATTCACTATTATTCATCTATAATAATTAAAACATTCCCACAAAGTGATGATATTTGTGATTATTATTGTGCGCTTAAGTGTCTCATATAGTAATTTTCTAAAATAAGAGGGGTCATTGTTAATTTTCATAAAGTGTAGAAGGAATCTCACCGTGCAGTAGCCCTGGTGGGTAAATTAATAAGGAGATTTGATGGGTTGGAGGTTTGATTGGATTGGACGGTGGTGATGTGATCTGTCGGTGGGACTCAAAAGATCAATGAACAATGATGGGCCGTTTACCCTCTTTCACCTCCTTCACTATGGGAAGTGAGAGAAAAAGATACCTTCAACGGACGGATTCATTAAAAGTTTCATTTTTCTTTTCCCAAAAATTTTAAAATTAAATTATATATATTTGTTATCTTCGTATTTCTATATAAGAAAAAATTGTGTAAAAATAATAAATCATTTCCGAGATCATGTGTGATATATACTCGTCTTATAATTGATTTATACAAGAGTTAACGTGTTGAGTTTATGTTGTACGAACGAAAAAATATGACACAATTATTAAACAGGAAACACAGATATGATCGGCATAACTTGTTTGATAATTGAGGCATGACCGTGTTACAGTATTACTCAATTATTTAATACGGTTATGCATAAGTGATTCTTTTAACTCGTTTATGATACGTTTAATTTGTTCAATCTAATTATTAATCATGTCATTAGTAAATATTTTTGACATGAGAATAAGCTAATATTCACCGTGCCATAAACATACAATTATGTCATATACAATCAACAAAGTCATTAAACCGGTTCACAGGTTACGAATTATTTACTCAAACACATGGTTAACAAACGAGTTAAGTTTGTCGGCACGAATACAATTAAAATCAATCCTAACCCACTCAAATGACATCATATTCCTCAAATATTAGTGGATCATGTCACAAACTACCACCACTATCTAAAACCGACCATATATAACATTACATAACTTTTACTATAAATATTTTTCTTTTTAACCATGATGTTTAGTACAAAATACTCGTATACGAGCATATCTAGCTATAAATAAAGTTTATGATTATTATAGTTTTTTTTTTTTTTTTTTAAAACACCGGTATTCCTTTCATAGTCACGAGTGGGGGCTGGTGACCCCACTCAAAATTTTCTCTTCATATAAATATTTACTTTTCTCTTATTTTATATTAAATGATTTTTTAATTTACTTTCTCCAAAATTAATTTTTGGGTCTGTATGTACTTAAGCTAATCTATGTATATAACTAAACTTCGAGGAAAGTACGTTGAAATTATTTATATTAGGACCACTTTAAACATGGGTATTTCATCAATTTAATTTTGTTAAATGATTTTAGTGCAATAATTAATTTAAATGGATAATACATTAGAGACAAAATTTTTATACAAACTCTCTCATATAAATTACCATGTTTTTTTTTCATGGTCATGAGTAGGGGCTGGTGACCCCACTCAAAATTTTCTCTAAATTAATTAATTTTTTTTTTTTTTGGGCCTCTGTTAATGTTTTATTGCTCTGTCCGTAGTTAAGCTGAACCATGTATAAGTAAAGCTAAACCTCGAGGAAAACGCATGGACATGGGCATTTAATGAATTTAATTTTGAAATTAATTTAAAAAAAATAAAAAGTGATATTTAATAAATTATTTATAATGAAAATGAGTGGTGGGGAGTAAATTCAAGTGGGAAATGGTGTGGTGGTTAGAGGACAAGAAGAGACCCCTGATTAGGCCCCCTTAATAGAAGAATGAGATTCCAATATAATCATTGAACTCACAAACAATTTCTAGTTGTGTCTCTTTCACAATCATTACTACTAAACACGAACCCCATCTTGTTTGTGACTTTAGTTTTGGTGTACAAAAAAGCCATCAACTTATATTATTATTATTATTTTTTAATTTATCGAGATATTTATATTAGTTTATGTACCTTTTAATTTAGTTATAGGGTTCATTAAATATCTTATAAGTCCATTAAATATTTTATAAGTCCAAATAACTCAAAGTTTAAATTTAAGAACTCAAAGAAAGGAATAAGTTTGGGGCTTCCTTGCTTTGAAAGTGCTTTTTTTGGAAGCATTTTTTCACATACATACACCAAATAGAAGCACTTTTCATTATGGTTTCAACTTGGAGAAACTTATTATTTATATGCCACTTATATCCATTATTTTAAAACCCGGACCGGAAGGTAACCCATTTTGCTGCTCAGGTCACGGGTCAACCGACCGGTTGGATCGATGACATTAACGATAATTTTATTTTTTAAAAATTACATATTAATCCCTTAAATTTTAATATATTAAAAATTCCCCTAAAAAGTTTAAATTAATCCCTAAAATTTTTATTTATTTAAAAAATACCTCAAAAAATTACCAATTAATCCTTAAACTTTTGACATATCTCCAAAACACTCCTATAAAAGTACAAAATAACCCTTATAATTTTAAAATATTACAAAAACCACTCTAAAACCTGAACTGGACCAAAAAAGCCGGACTGGCCGGTCCAGTCCAGTTTTTAAAACAGAGCTTATGTCATTCAATATATATATCGGTGTGATTTTGCAGTTCCCATTTTATCACTTTTCTCTTATATATATATATTATGTATAAATGTTTTTTTATTGGTGAGATATATGTCAATTTGATATTAAAAAAAAAAAAGATTTATTTATTTATTTTTTTTTTGTGCGAAATCGTTTAGTATTAAATTCTTCAGTTTCATTTGAAAAAAATATCCACGTATTTTTTAAAATACGGATTTCATTAACCAGCAGTAGTTAATAGTTAACTACAACCGACAAACACTAAACAACAAAAACTTTTTGTATTGAAAACTGTAAAATAATTTCTTCTAATATTTATTATCGCCAACCAACAATCGTTCGTATTTTAAAACATATAATTAAAATTATCAGTTTTTTTTACATGCTTTGTGTTTGTATATTGGTAACGGTCTTTGTATATTTGTAGTAACATGATGTATATGTATGGCATTTACATGGTCTCTTATTGAAGAGAGATGCATGAGCATCCTAGGAAAGTGAAAAATAAAAAGTTTCAGCTTTTTTGATGAGCAAACATGGTGGTCCTCACAGTTCATAAATTTCCAATGGGCACTGGTCAATAGTACTCTTTTGTTTTTGCCTCCTGGTTTTCAATAATTGACAAGACTACTCATGATAAATCTGCTTTCAAGTACCTTTAATTTGTTGGAGTTATCGATTATTTCAGTATTAATGGGTTACGCAACACTCCTAAGTGCCTGTAGGCAGTTTGAGTCTCTTCTATGTATAATTGTTATAGGATTTCTTTAAGTTATTAATTCTTCGTTGGGTTGGGCTAAAGAATATGAATAATTGTAAAACTAGGTTTTGTCACTTAAAATTAGTATATAAACATATTTTTCTCTTGTTATGAATGTGATAGCAAATCATAGGGTAATTTATTTATTGTAAACGAGAGAGAGATGAGGAAATATTGCAATAATATTGACTCGACTGGACATAACTCATATTGGGTAAACCAGGGTAAATCGCACGTGTTATTTTCTCTGTGTTTATTATTTATGATTTGCTTTATTATTATTTTGTTCTCACTGTTGTCTCTACTTTGTTCATAACTAAACCAAACCAAAAATCAAATTAATTTATATAACAAGTACTGGAATTCATTAATTAATCTCATAATCCCTACCGAACTGGATGGCTCCAAGATGTTTCACAGATATAGTATAGATTTCAAACAATTTTCTCTGTTTTTTCATAACCTGACAACACAGAAGAGAAAGTTTTCTCTCTTCTATGCAGCGAATGTAAATATAAACAACCAATACATATANTTTGTATTGAAAACTGTAAAATAATTTCTTCTAATATTTATTATCGCCAACCAACAATCGTTCGTATTTTAAAACATATAATTAAAATTATCAGTTTTTTTTACATGCTTTGTGTTTGTATATTGGTAACGGTCTTTGTATATTTGTAGTAACATGATGTATATGTATGGCATTTACATGGTCTCTTATTGAAGAGAGATGCATGAGCATCCTAGGAAAGTGAAAAATAAAAAGTTTCAGCTTTTTTGATGAGCAAACATGGTGGTCCTCACAGTTCATAAATTTCCAATGGGCACTGGTCAATAGTACTCTTTTGTTTTTGCCTCCTGGTTTTCAATAATTGACAAGACTACTCATGATAAATCTGCTTTCAAGTACCTTTAATTTGTTGGAGTTATCGATTATTTCAGTATTAATGGGTTACGCAACACTCCTAAGTGCCTGTAGGCAGTTTGAGTCTCTTCTATGTATAATTGTTATAGGATTTCTTTAAGTTATTAATTCTTCGTTGGGTTGGGCTAAAGAATATGAATAATTGTAAAACTAGGTTTTGTCACTTAAAATTAGTATATAAACATATTTTTCTCTTGTTATGAATGTGATAGCAAATCATAGGGTAATTTATTTATTGTAAACGAGAGAGAGATGAGGAAATATTGCAATAATATTGACTCGACTGGACATAACTCATATTGGGTAAACCAGGGTAAATCGCACGTGTTATTTTCTCTGTGTTTATTATTTATGATTTGCTTTATTATTATTTTGTTCTCACTGTTGTCTCTACTTTGTTCATAACTAAACCAAACCAAAAATCAAATTAATTTATATAACAAGTACTGGAATTCATTAATTAATCTCATAATCCCTACCGAACTGGATGGCTCCAAGATGTTTCACAGATACAGTATAGATTTCAAACAATTTTCTCTCTTTATTCATAACCTGACAACACAGAAGAGAAAGTTTTCTCTCTTCTATGCAGCGAATGTAAATATAAACAACCAATACATATAAAAAGAATGGTGTTCTCAAGAAAATAGAGAAATCAAAACTTAGTTAAGATGATACTGTATTTGAACTAGTTTTTGGGAGTGAGTTCTACCTAAGAAAAATACATCATGATATTAGAGCGGCCTTGCCTGGGGCAGATGGTGGGTCATTGTTGGGTTTAGACCTTGCTTTGTTGTATATATATGTGGCTGAGTTCCCTCTTCCTTTGATTTAGTTTTTGGGATGAGTTCTATCCAAACCTGCTTGGTATGAAATAAGTTTTGTTGTTATTTTTTTAGGAGAGTAAACGACATATTCCCACCCAAGGTTTGACGAAATCCCAAGTTGGTACCCCAAGTTCCATTTATTATAAATTCCCACCCTTCAAATAACACTGTTAACAATTTTTGGGGTAGTGAGGGTGCAATTACCATAATATCCTTAACCCTAAATTAATAAATTATGTTTTAACCCCTAAATTACTAAAATTATAAAATTAACCATCTTATTTTGAAATTACTTTAATTATACCCTTAGTGACTGCGCACTGTCTCGGTTTTCACTGGATATGGGTTGTTTCAGATGGCGGCGAACCCCTTGGTCACCTCCATCACCTTCCCCATCGTCCATCGTCCAAAATCCCTCTGGTTCCTGACTCATTGGGCTCTCCAATCGCCGACACTGTCAAGCTTAGGTTTTCGTCGTTCTTTGCTGGATTCCGACGACAAAAATACAATTGGACATCACCACTGCAACCAACATCTCCAAATCTACAAAACCCCTATGTCCCCAGCAACTATTTAGTGGCCATTTGTCGATGGAGACCAACTAAAACCAGTTGCCTGTGGCGGCTATCGTGGCTAGTGATCGCTGAGTGATGAGGGGTTGTGAAGGGTACTATTTTGTAGAGGGGAGGATGATTGTTTAAATGGTGGTGACAAGGGTGATTTTGGGTGGAAGAATCGCCGAAAAAGAGCAAAAAACGTCGGCGGTGGTGTTAGCTAACGTGCAGCTGAGCTTTGTTAGGGGCAACGATTTTTTAATGTGCGCCTCCTTTGTGAAATGGCCAATTTACCCCTGAGTCGTTATATCTAACCATTTTACGTTACTTTAAGGGTGGGAATCTGAAATAAATAGAACTTGGGGTACCAACTTGCGATGTCATCAAACCTTGGGTGGGAATATGTCGTTTACTCTTTTCAGGATTTGATCCTTCTTTAATAGTTATAGAATCTACTATCTCATTGAATGCATTATTTTTAGGATGTTTCTTCAAGCACATTGTTCTACATGAGGCATATTATCAGGATTATGCACCAATTCTTCAGTAGGTTTTGTCACTTAAATCTAGTATATAAACACATTTTAACTTTCCATAAATGGGCCCTTGCTTTTTCCAGTCGTTCAATGGCCCCTCCCTACCGTTCTTTTGAATTTCAAATAGTATTTAAGATCCTTAGTTTTCGATTATCTAATAAATCACTTAATGAAAATAGATTATCATTCCAGCTATTCAGAAATTGGATGACATTTAATTTTAACAAGTTGTTAAGAAATTGGAAATATATAGTTTACAAGCTTTTTGAACTGTGAATGGCATAGACGCATAGTTGCAGCAATGTTGCCTGAATGATGATTATATTTTATTGCTTTGAAATCCATGAGTATGTTCCAATTTTTACCAAGAAATTGTTATTCATCATATTCAATTATTCATATCAATTTGCTTTTTAAATCTTAATTTAAATTTTCAAGAAATTGTTAGATTTTATATTTTCTTACCTTAAATTATGCCTTTTTAATGAATTAAGTTAATTAACTACTGAAATTAAGTAGTCAAATTGTTAAATATAATACTTATTAACGTACTAGTTTTTCACAATTAAAATAATTAATTTTACGAAAAGTTTTGACTTACATGGGGCAAAAATCCCCATTCGGGAGATAAATCCATGCGGGGATAAATTCCCCGCAAAGGCTCGGTTATCGGGCCGGGACGGGACGGGGATGGTCATGATTTTGTCCCTGCAGGCCGGGGATGGTCATGAGAAAAATTGTCGCCCGCGGGGATGGTCCTCGGAGAGGGTAACAGGGACGGCCCCGGGGCATGGGGTCCTCAGCCCCGGCCCCGACCCAGCCCACGCCCATCTCTAAATCTGACAATGATTAGATATGGCAAGAGACGTTTCTAGGAAATATGCAAATCTTCTTCTTCTTCTTCCTCTATTTTTTTATTTTTTGGGTGACTGGAGTGTTCGGCCTAGCTTGCATACACTTCAACTAATACCCGAGGCCCTGAAGTTGACAGCTAGGTAAACCTCCAGTGGCCACCTCTATTAGCAATAGAGGTGAATCGAACTCATGACCTCTTAAGTAATACCCCAAGAGTCGCTATTTAATCACTTGGCCACCCAAGGGTGGTTAGTATGCAAATCTTCCCCATGAGTTAAACAGATCAAATGATGACAAAAGGTCTACATGGCCGAGTTACAATGAATCATCGTAGAAGCTTTCACCATATAACGATTTTGCCACAGCTTTTTTTATGGACATATAACTTTGGACTTTGTATGCTTCATGTTATAATGAGAATTAATTGTAACCTTGGACGCATTAATTGATTCGGAGTAGTGTTTAGCGTTGAAGTTTGAATATTAATCTTAAAGGTTGGCTCTCATATGTAAACGATATCCAATGTGGTTTGGAGTTATATAGAGCAAGACATCATAAAGAAAAAGAGTGGCACTGATCATTACTAATTTGCTTCTGTTTATAATACATTAAGATTACAACTTCTACATTGGGAAATGAAGACGTGAACTACCAACAACATATATAGAGGCGCCATCCTCAACAAGACATAATTAATTTGTAGCAGATCGATAAATTTGCCTGAGTTGCTTTGTCACATCAATCATCGTTGGTCTTTCTTCTGGTGTGTTTAGACATCGAAAGATAAGATCTATAAAGGCCTGCAACTGCTGCTCTTTCCCGGGATATGATCCTTCTCCGGTAATAATAGGATCTACTATCTCATTAAATGTATTGTTGTCAACATGTTTCTTCACGTAGGTAGCCCAAAAATATTCAACTGTAATATCATCTCCAATGTGGTTAACCATACAGTCTATTAACATTGTAAAATGTTCATCTTCTCCCAAAAGATGACGGATTTTCTGTCCAGTGAAAAGCTCAAGTAGTACTACACCAAAACTGTAAACATCGCACTTCTCGTCACATTCATTTGTATAAAAGTACTCTGGTGCAATGTAATCCACTGTCCCAATTAGGGGATCATTTTTTATGTGGGTTTCACCTTCTGGAATAGGAGCTGATAATGAAAAATTATAGAGTTTGGAAGCATAATGTTCATCTAACAAGATATTTGATGGCTTGATGTCTCTAAAAACAATTGGTCTGGGGAGTCCAAAGTGAATATATGCCACTGCATTAGCGATTTCCATTGCAATCTTCAACCTATGCCTCCATAGTAAAGGCTCAGAATTGAGTTCATGACGGCGGTGAATATGATCATCAAGAGAGTAATTTTCTACCCATTCAAAAACTAGAATGGGAGTTTCAGTCTCCAAGCAGCATCCGATGAACTTCAAAATATTTTTGTGGCTTATTTTTGATGCAAATGCAATGTTGTTAAAGCAAAAGTCTTGTACCGAGTAGAGCGTTTGAGGCTCTATATACTTCATAACTAAAATAGGGCGATCTAGGAAGCCTTTGTAAAACTTAAGGTGACCATCATGGCCTGGTATAAGTTTCTGTATCTGGTAGTTCTTCGTTGCCATCTTGAGCTCTTCAATGGAGAAACTTCTAATTGGATTTTGTTTACCATTAGACGAGGTAATCAACTTCTCTAATAAAATTGCGCCATTCCTTAAGAATGGTTTGTCATCTACCTTTTTCTTATCCTTTCTTCTGCTGAAAAACCAATTCATTCTAACCTGTTCATAATTCCATGAAATACTTTTTCACCTTTACAACTATGGAACAAGTGAAGCATATGTAAATTAAAAAAAAAAAAAAATTGTAAATATTGTCATTGCTTATAAGAAACAACTGAGAAAAAAGGATGTTAATTAAATTACCTGCGGATGGCCGACCCTTTCACAATCGACGGAGCTGGAGAGGCATGAATTTGATCAGATAACTTGTCGATAAAATCTGAAGCAGAACAAATATATAAAACAGAAAGGTGGATTTTTTAATATAGTAGAGATGGTATGGAAGTCCTGCCGATCAACCATGACATATTCAAAGTGATAAAAAGTAGTTGGTTAATAACCAAGCGTTGAAATGAGCAAGCTTTACAAGACTTAAGGACTTTGAAATTTCCATTTTTTCTGAAGTTCTAAGTCAAAGTCTTGACACATTTGGCACTTTAAACAAATGAACATCAGTTAATAAAAAACAATTGTGATACTATATATATATATATATATTTTAGAAGTTCTAGTCTTACAAAAACAAATACAAAGGGAGCATACAAAGACAATCCCCACCTTTCATCTTCATGATTTCTCTTTCTCTCTCTTTCTCTTTTTCCGTTTTTTCTTTGTTTTTTTCTTCACTTTGTAGGCTTCTTTATATAAGTCTTTGTAAGGATAAAGTTATTCTATATTTTTTAGGTATCAGGGTTGTCCAATCTCACATTGGAGCTTACTTAATTCTTAGGGTTACGAAACACCCTATAAGTCCAATAGACCAAGATAATTGTACAAACGTGATAGATATCTCAACTATGACTCGAACACAATACCCTATGGGTATAACTAATTCCAGTGGCTAAAGAGTTTATCATCCTGTCACAAGAGAAGAGGTATCGTGATACTATAATAAATATGTCAGAGTTAAATTTGTCCCATATTGCTCAATTGGTAAATTGTTATACACATATATATGGTTAGACTCCTTCCTCATTTGAACTAGTTTTTGGGGGTGAGTTATAGTGTTTTATCCAACAGTTTGAGGTTCTGCCTTACTCAATTATTGCAAAAGTCTCCTTAAATAAATGAGTGAGGTTTAATCAATAGAGGAAAAACAAACTAAACTATAGATTTTTTTTTGAGTGGGATCAGCTGCCCCCACTCATTTGTATATGGGTCCTTATTACAACTCTACCTCTCTCCTCTAACCCCATTATTAAGGAGCCACATAAATGAATTCTGTTAAAACAGTTTTGGGTAGTTGACAAACAGTCAATCCATGATAAATATTGATGATCTGGTAAATGATCAGAAAGCACAATAACCCACTTCTTTTGGTCCTGTAATTTCATAAATTCTGCTGGAGATTTTAAGATCTGATCAATAAATTCCAATTTCAGATCTTTCTTAGCTGCTTAACCTGAGCAAATTAAACTTATAATAATAAATGTTGGTCATGACTTAAAGCTTGCAATTCATTCAACTCTTCAACGCTCATATTTCACCACACCTCCTATTATTTACAGTATATATGTTAATATTTTGATGATCAAACATCTAATCTGTTAGAAACTAAACATGGTGTCAATGTGGCTGCCGGAAATGTGAAAAGGATGAAGCAATTCACCATACTTGAAATATGTCGGTGAGACAAGTTCAAGATTCCTATGGCATTAGCACCATTTCTCATGCCAAATTAATTACTCACACACAGCATGGAAAATCAATATAATTAAGGGACAGTATTATCATATGCATAAGACAATGTTTTCCTCGCATTTTTTTAGTAAGTCACTGTACAAATGATTCAGCTGCTTCCTTCATCCTTTGACTCAATGATTTCATAAGCTTCCCCATCAACAATCTGTTCCTCTGTTTCCATCTCATCAAGGGCTTGGGCACCAAGACTTTCATTGTTAGTAGTACTAACTAATTTATCATGAATATGTCCTACGGATTCACTCCTTTTTTTGAGTAATTTCAAAAACTCCTCTGCTGCTTCCATATCTCCCTGTTGTCTTGAATACTCATGACATGCTGCCAAAGTAAATTGGTTGGGCTTCCACCCTGGTTGACTTACCAAGATTGCTCTCTTCATAGTCTCCACTGACTTTGCCATCTGACCATGAACATGGTATCCTGTTGCCAGACGATCCCATAAGGTTGATTCAGGCACCTTTCCACTCTCTATAAGCCTGTTTACATATGCTTCAGCCTTTCTCAAAAGACCCTTTCTGCAATAACCACTGATAACAATATTTGGTACCCGAACATCAAAAACTGTATCTGCAGATTCCCACTCCTCCAAGATCTTCTCTGCACCATCAATGTCGTCCAATTTCATCAGAGAGCTTATAATGCACACATAGCCTGAGTTGTAGACTTTTCCCATATTCTTATACAAATTCCATATACGATACACTTCATGTTTATTACCAGTAGAAGCATATACAGTAATCAGAACTTCATAAGCAAACTGTCTCATTCTACTTCTACCAGTAATTAGAGGCTCTGACCTCTTCAGCATTGTCCAACTCTTTTCAATTAAGCCAGCTTTCAAGTACCAATTAGCTGCAACAGTATATGCATTCCAATTCATTTTGAAATCACAAGCAACTTTCATCTGCTGCATTATACCAGATATACCAGATTGCTTAAGCGATCCATCGTATTCAGAACACTTTTTTAGTCATCTCCACCTACAATCGGTGCTACTATCCTCAATTATCAAGAAAATATTCAACAAATTTTACCTCGTTCAACTTACATTACATCAAACACAACCCAACAACCTAAATAATTAAATCAAAATCATAACCCAAACCCAATCCATAACTAAATCTTTGTAAATCAAAATATAAAATGAAAGGGGAAGATACACATACCTGGACAAAATGTCAGGAGGAGGAGGAGGAGAATCTATGGCAGAGAAAATGTTAATGGCGGAGGAAGAAGATAGTGTTATGGCGGGAAGAAGAATATGTATAGGAAAGAGGAAGAAGAAGGTGTAGAGGAAGAAGAAGATACAGAGGAAGAAGAAGATGTAGACAAAGCTTAGAATAAACAGCAACCAGGGAGGGATGCGTTAATGGCGGGAGGAAGAAGAAGAAGATGTTATGTTTGGGTTTGTTTGCAAGAATTTTAGGTTTGTGGGGACATATTATAATTTTTAAAAGATTACACAATATTTCATTAATCTTAATTAAGCCATGATTAATGTTTAATTGTTATTAGTTTGTCTTAATAAAAAATAAGGCCATTTAGTAAAGACTAAAAAACTACATGACCTTTTAGTTAAATTCAAGATCAATATGATGCAAGCTTTACAAGACTTAAAGACTATGAAATTTCCATTTTTTCTGAAATTCTAAGTCCACTCTTGACACATTTGGCACGTTAAACAAATAAACATCAGGTACCTATATATATAGGCACCTGAATTATTCAATTCCACGATGGAGTCTACCTAATCCGTTGGGTCACAGAACACGGTAATTAGATAAATATGATAGATACTTCTATTGTGACTTAAACACAAGACCTCTTAGGTATAGTTAACTTCAGTGGCTAAAGAGTTTATTATCTGACCATAAGAGGAGAGGTATTGTGATACTATATTAAATATGCCAGAAGTTAAATTTGTCTCATATTGTCAAGTTGGTGGACGATTAAAGTATGTATATGTAGTTGGACTCATTCCTCCTTTACACTAGTTTTTGGGGGTGAGTTATAGTGCTTTATCCAATAGTTTGAGTAATGCCTTATTCAATTATAGCAAAAGTCTCCTTAAATAAATGAGCGAGGTTAAATCAATAAATATTAATACAAATGTTGTCCAATTAATAGAGAAAAAACAAACTAAGCTACAGATTTTTTTTTGAGCTGGGTTAGCTGCCCCCACTCATTTGTATGTGGGTCCCTTATATCAATTCTGCCTCTCTCCTTTTAACCCCATTATTAAGGAGCCACATAAATGAATTCTGTGTTAAAAATAGGTTGAAGTCTTGGGGTTTTAATGTTTTGGGTAATTGACAAAACACCCAATCCATGATAAATAATTTCAAAGTAGGCCAGTTCTTATTTGTATGTAGACTCTAGAAAACAACCAAAACCAACAAGGGATGAATGGTCTCACAGTATGGGCTCCTAAATGAAGCCCAAACCAACCTTTCTTGACTTGTCTCATGGTTGACCAAGAAGACTTCCATATTTCTAAGAAACTGTATGTATGTTCACGTTCTTTTATTTTGCTTCACATTTTATATGCAACTGTGAGCTGCAGAGCTTTCTATATCAAACTATCTGCTCTTGCTCGAAGGTACATATCTTCTTCAATTATCAGTTTTTATTTCTTAATATGTCTATCTGCACGTGAATTTGCTTTCATTAATTGTTGCCTTTCATTCATTTGCTAATATTAATCTTCCTTCCAAATTGTTTTTGAGAATGGTGGCAATATTATAGTTGACTTTCAGGCTTGAAACAAAGTAAATTTCCAGAAGATGAAAATATTGATGATCTGGTACATGATCAGAAAGCACAATAACCTACTTCTTTTGGTCCTGTAATTTCATAAATTCTGCTGGAGATTTTAACATCTGATAAATAAATTCCAATTTCAGATCTTTCTTGGCTACTTAACTTGAGCAAATTAAATTTACATTTTTTTTTTTTTTTCACATGAGGCAATGATCCTGATCTGATTTAAATCTTTACTGACATTAAAGTACAGCATATAGTGGATCAATTTCCTATTTTGTTCTTAACATACTTGATGTTCATCAGAAAAGGAAAATAGTGAAACTATTTGATGAATTGTGGATAGGTTCGATGAGTTGTTTTCTGAGGACAAGGAAGCATCAGGAAGATGATGGTGAACGAAATATTTTGAAGAATGGTGAAATTTTACTAAGAGTGTTGATTACCTCCTTTAATGGTAAACGGAATCCAATCCGTGCTTTCTCTGCTGAAGAACTCAAGACAGCAACAGGCAACTACGACACTGGAAATGTTATTACAGATGATTACAACTATAGACTATACAAAGGTTTCCTGAAGGATGGCCCTATTTCTGTTATGAAGCTTGACAAATACAGAGCTGCATATCGAGACTCTATTAATAGTATTTGTTGATGCGTGATTTTGACACTAACTAATCGACACGTACATAACGTTGATTGGTCAAGAGACGCACGTGATTATGAATGAAATGTAGAGTAAATGCAACAATGAGAGCTTTTTAAAGTGGTTCGAATGCTAAGGTAGAAAATCCTACGTCCACTGATAGTTTGTATTAGAATCGTGGGTCAGGTCGCAATAGCGGACTGACTTACAAATAATTGGGGAAAAGTAAATACAAAAGTATAATGATAAGAGAGAGAGAAAGCTAGTTCAGAGTGCAAGAAGGCCGAATCCCTTTAATGAAAAGATCTTTCCTTTTTATAGTGAGATGAGTGCAGATAACCATTATTAAATCCGTGGGTTGGTGCGAATGTCAGGACTAAATCCGACTTTATGTCACATTGCCCACCTTCTAAGCTGATTTTACGTGATTTGGAGCAGGGAAATGGACACGTGGGAGCTCCACGACGCCTTGCATGCCTGACGTGTGCTTACCGTTCTGACGAAAGCAGGTCAACCCCATCACGTGATTTCCCACGTCAGCCCTTGATTTCCCAGGCATAACAGTATTGTATTTGCATCACAGATGAGTCATAAAAATATTTTGAAGTTGATTGGGTGTTGCTTAGAGACTGAAACTCCCATTCTAGTGTTCGAATTTGCAGAGTATGGTACTCTTTACTATCGTATTTTCCGTCCTCTTGAACACCATTTTGAGCCATTACTATTGACACATAGATTAAAGATTGCAATGGAGATTGCTAATGCAATCGCATATCTCCATGTTCGATTTCCTTGGCCCGTTGTGTCTAGAATGATCAAAGCAAGCTACTTTGTATTCCAAGAACAATATGTTGCCAAATTTTTGATTTTTCACTGTCTGCTTTGATTCCAGAAGGTGAACCTCACATCCAAACTGATAGAATTGAAGGGACGTATGGATATATGGCACCTGAGTACGCATTATATGGTATATTTAGTGAAAAAAGTGATGTTTTTAGTTTTGGTGTTTTGCTGTTCGAGCTCTTGACTGGAAACATGATATCTAATATTCTTCAAGATGAACCGGACGGTTGCTTTCATTTTGAAAAGCTTATGAAGAAATATATTGAAGAGGGGTTTCATAAGATGGTAGATCCCATAATTCTTGGAGAGGAACCTTATTCTGGAAAAGGCCTGCAATTGCACGTCCTTGCAGAGCTCGTCTTAAAATGTGTCTCTGAATCAGCAGAAGAAAGGCCGACAATGATTGATGTGGCAAAACAGCTCAGGCAAATGTATCGCCTCTCCTAGTTATCATAGTTCAAAAAAGTGATTTAACAATTTCCATTTATGCTTCTATGTAAGTTTTCAGGATGTACACATTTCTGTTATATTGATCTTGCCCATATGTAAAAACTCTCTGAACTCATCTATTTTAGTCTTAAATCCATCTATGAAACCCTTTCAGTACTCATGATTAACTGGGGAACATATTAGGCAAAAAATTGAGAATAGAAAAGCACATAAAAACTGATCCTTTATACAAAATCTGCACACATTGACATGATGTTCACCAAAGCAAATTGTACCTTATTTGTGGTGCAATTACAATGTTGTTAGAACAGTACTCATTTGTCCTGCTTCCTACAAACTTCATAACAGAGATCAGAAGATTCTGCAATTCTGCAGGGAACCTTCATACATCGTCAACTTCTTATGTTGCAAATTGTTTGTTGCTCTCTTGAGCTCATCAGCAGAAACCAGTACTAAATGGATTATATCTACTATTAAAAGAAGCAATCAACTTCTGAAAATTGAACTCATCTAACCAGTTCACAAATCCCTGATAACTTCAGTACTTCTGATTAACTAGCTAGGAGCATAAAAAGCCACATTAACTATCATTTTAACTGGACAACTGATACATTTGCTTAAGTTGTTTTGCCACATCAATCATTGTCGGTCTGTCTTCAGCTGATTCACAAACACTTTTAAGAATAAGCTCTGTCAAAACTTGTAATAGCTTCTCTTTTATAGGACATGATTTGTCTCTAAGAAGGATGGGATCTACTACCTCCACAAACCTACCATCTTCAATGAATTTCATCACATGATTCAATAACAAATAATCAGCTCCATTTTTGCTGCGCGAAGGATCATAAACTGTTGGTCCTGTCAAAAGCTCAAGAAGTAAAATTCCAAAACTATAAACATTATATTTCTCAGTGCAATCACATGTAATCATGTACTTTAGATCCTAATTAATAAATATGTGTTTTATATGTGTATTTATGTATTTTATAAGGACTATCGAATTATATATATATAATATGAATACTCGTATAACTCACGAATTATTGAAAAAAAAAAAAAAAAAAAACTGGGTGAGAATGAAAGAGGAAGTGCGTGTTTTCGTGGTTTTGAGGAGATTAAGAATAGTAAAAGGATGCCTTTCAAACATGGAAGGCCTGCACATGTGGCAGTTGAAGTGAGGCTCCAAGAGACAAAACTTTAACCCAACATGTTCAGCCATAGTGCCATGTGGCAACTATGGCCCCACATGTAATGCCCTCAACATGGGAAAAAGTAAAACTAAAATTATAATATATTTTTATTCTTGATTCTCTGCTATTTTTTTTTTAATAATTTTTTTTTTGAACTTTCTCAATGATTTTGAAGGATAAGTTAAAAAAATATTATTTTAAATAATTATTTTTTATTTAAAAATATGTTTTTGTTATAGTAATTGATAGGTTTAATAATGGGATAATTCTGGTTAAGCATTGCTATAAGTAGATTGCTTTAATTGCTAGAATTTTCTATTTTAAACACTAAAATTTCAGTCCTTTTTATAGTAGTATTCTATTTGCTTAATCTTTTATTTTCTTTTCCTAATAAGATCTGAAGTAATAATATCATGGATAGCACGTTTGAGACATGGAAGCAAATAGAGTAAATCGAATAAAAAAAAAGAAATTTATTTGCAATTTAATTTGATTGGACTGATTGGTGGGTGTCGAATCCAACAAATAATAAAATTCTCACTCTAAAAAAAATACAAATTGTAACAGTGATGAGCAAGGTTGTATCTAAAGAGATTGGGTAGATTTATTTTAATGAAAATTAAAGTAAAGAAAATGGGGTTTTGAAATTTCGAAGTGAAATAAAAAGAAAGCAATTATAATCAACTAAAAATTAAGGAGAAATCAATATCAAGCAAATATCCAACCGAAGGTTTAATTTCAGAATTGGTTCAGAGAATTGATCACAGATACAAGGATAAAATCTTCGATTCTTCACTAAATTGGTTATGGTTATTAACAAGTTCTAACAACCTATCTCTCCTTACTTTCTCGATAACCAAAACAAGCTCTTGATTATTTTCCTTATTAATAAACAACCCTAAACAAGCTCTTAGGATTTAATCTATCGACAACATTAATAATTAGAGAGACTACCAATTCTAGCCAATAAATACACAAGCTCGATTCATTTAGACTAGATTATCTATCTTCATAACATAAATCGAAAATCTCTCTATAATCAACTATGTTATTTTACCACTAATATTAGAACATTTAAACAATTACGGATTTAAAGTTCTAAATGACAATTTATTAACCTGATAATTGAACAACGGGCCCTTTGCATCAATCAATCAAGACAATAATTGTTAATAAACATAGAAGATATATAAATAGTGAAGAAATAAAAAAATACTGAAAATTAATTAGATCTCACAATTCTTGAAGAACCAAAACTTCAATTATCCCTCAGTTGGAAGAAAAGTATTTAGCTACTCATAATTAAAAGAACGCCTAAAGAAAAGAGAAGAGAGAGAGAGAGAGGAGATAGATCCCTTTTTCTAGTGAATAATCTCCCTATTTATAACTCCATCTAATAATAGTTACCCTATCTAGATCAGGAAACTAATTAAAAGCAAATCTTATCTTAATAAGGAGTCTTAGCAAATCCTAGAGATTAAGAATGCGTAAATAAATCTTTCCAGCTGTCATACATATCTTTTTCTCCAACAAATTCGTAACCCTAGGTCAAAAACCTCGGATCCAGTAAGGCGCGCCCACGCTCTATCTGCTAACTGCTTTTGTGAACATTCTGGGAAAACAGGACGTGCCCACGCTTTAAGCAAAATCCGCTTCTGGATTGTATCTCTTTTTGAGCTCTGATTTTTTTCTCTCCAAATCTCTTGATTTTGAATTCAATTTGATTTAACTCCTTAATCTACTGTACAAAATATGAAACATAATCAAAATCCAAGATTTAAGCATTTATAACCATTAAAACGTGAGGAAATATAAAAAATATATAGATATTATGAATTCTTATCACTGATACATCTCAGAAGATCTTATTTGATATTGCATCCAGTTGACCATTATTTAAAAACTTCTTCCCAACAAAATATAGTAAAATCATATTGCCACCCCTAAGCTTTCATGCATTTGACTTTGAATTTTGGTTTTGTTATGACTTATGTGTTTGGTTTGACACTATTGTTGAATTTTGGCTAAATATTGTGTTTGAGTCTGGAGACTATAATTTGAATATCAGTTATATATAATGTATTTGTGTTATTGGTTAATTGAATACTTTGCATTTGAAATGCTACATTGATTTTAACCAGGTAGTCCATAAAAGTGTTAAAACTAAGATTGATATTGCCGTATTTTTCAAAACGTATTATTGACAACGCACCGTATTAAACCCATATATACCTGTATCGTATTTTTCCCGTATCCGAATTTTATGACTGAATTTTTATAAACGTATTTTTTACCGTTTGCTGTATTATACCTATAAAATTCACATACCCTTTTTTTGCCGTACCCGTATTTACTAACTAGGCTCTGGAGCAATATATCCCACTGTTCCTGCCACCGCATCATTTATGTGGGTTTCACCTTCCGGAATAGTCAGAGAAAGTGAAAATCAAACAGTTTGGCAACGTAATTTTCGTTGAGAAAGATTCTTGATGGTTTGATATTTCAAAACACAATAGGCCTGGGGAATCCAAAATGGAGATAGCCAGATAGGCAACTGCATTAGCTATCACCATTGCAATTTTGAGCCTTTGTGACTACTAAAGGCTCAAAATGGGGTTGATGGTAAATATGATCAGCAAGAGTGCTAAACTGCACAGGTTCAAAAACCAGAATGGGAATTCGAGTCTCTAAAGCATCCAATCAACTTCAAAACATTTGTGCAGATACTCATCCGCGATGAAAATACAATGTTATTGAAACAATCTTCACATTCATCCAGAATGTCATTGAACTTCACAATAGCTATTGTGTGGTCCTTTAGAGCACCTTTGTACAATTTATAGACATATCCATCTCTTATAACTTTTTGTAGGTCATAGTTGTCTGTTGCATTCTTGAGCTCGTTAGCAGAGAAACCGTGAATAAGATTACATTTACCATTACAAGAGGCAATCAACCTTTCCAGTAAAATTTGGCCATTCTTCATCAAGAATACTCATTCATCTGTGTTTTGTAAGTTCTTTCTTTTCCTCAAACAGGAAATCATCTATATCCTGTATAAAACCCCAATAAATATATTAATTTATACATATAAAACTGGCTATAGTTCAAACTGTTTCATCTGTTTGCAAGGAAATTAACGGATTCTTCTCAACCAAGATCACTGTCGAATGTGAAGAAAAGGGAAAATATGCTAACTACATTATAAGAGTTCATACATAGCAGTTACAGTAAATATTTACATCAATCAGGCTAAAAGGTTTATGTAGCTGTTAATGGCTAATTCAAGTATTGACATGAAGAAAACAGAACAATGAATTTGAGAGAACTCCGCAATTGGCACTTACATATATATAAAAAAATAAACTGAATCTGAAGCTGATTTTACATAACTAGAAGCGATGTTTCTTGGAAGTAGGGAGGTCTTGTATATCAGTCAACTATATATGATTTAATTACTAAATGTAGTCTACTTTTCATAGTCATGGAATTTTCAAAGTTGGCTCCGGGAAATTTTTGCCCAGTGGATTGTTGACTAAGCTTTTAGTGATGTGGAGTTGCATAGAAAATCAATTGTAAATGACACAAACTAAAATCAATCAAAAGTTGCACTTGCTATCATGGGAAATTTAGACAAGATATTGTATAACAAGCTGCATATACATATTAAATTTGCATGCCTGAACGATACATTTGTCTGAGTTGTTATGCCACATCTATCATTCTTGGCCTTTCTTCTGCTGATTCAGAAAGACATTTAAAGGCAAGCTCTGTGAAAACTCGTAATTATTGTTCTTTTCTAGGAAACGATACGGCTCAAACAATTACAGGATCTTCTATCTTATTAACACTACTCTGTTCGAAATACTTATCCACACATTCCCATAACGGATGTTTATCACTAGTTTTAAGACGTGAGAGATAAGTAATCCTTTGTCCGGTAAAAAGTACGAGCAATAATGCTCTAAAACTATAAACATCACTTTTCTCGTTGCAATGACCTGTAGTGAGGTACTCCAACGCAACAAGTCCAAATTCTCCCATCACACTATCTTTAACGTGGGTTTCACCTTCTGGATTAGACTTGGATAGTGAAAAATCGAACAGTATCGTGACATATTGTTCATGGAATAAGATACTCAAGGGTTTGATATTTCGAAAAACGATAGGCCTAGCAAATCCAACACGGAGATATGCGACTGCATTAGCTATATCCATTGCAATCTTCAATCTATGTGTTAACAATAAAGGCTAAAAATGGAATTGATAAGGACGATAAATTTGATCAGCAAGAGAACCATACTCTATAGGTTCAAAAACCAGAGTGGGAATTTGAGTATCCAAGCAAGATCCCATCAATTTCAAAACATTTTTATGAATCATTTGTGATGCAAATACAATATTGTTAAAACAATCTTTCGGTGTATCCGCGGATTCATACTTCATGACAGTAATTTGGCGCTCCTCCAGAAAACCCTTGTACAATTGGTAATCAACTTCTGTGTGTCGTAGTTGTTTGTTGCTAATTTGAGATCTTCAACAGAGAAACTGCGAAGTGGATTACATTTTCCATTAAAAGAGTGTCAACTTTCTTAGTAAAATTTCACCGTTCCTCATCATAAATGTTGTCTCCTCAGGTACCTTCTCTGAATGCATGAATTTTCTCAAGTATGAACTCATAGGATCGACCCACCAAATCCTGAAATGCTTTGAATATATATATATATATATATATATTCTTAAAGGTTGGCTTTCATATGTAAACGATAACCAATGTGGTTTGGAGTTATATAGAGCAAGACATCATAAAGAAAAAGAGTGGCACTGATCATTACTAATTGGCTTCTGTTTATAATACATTAAGATTACAACTTCTACGTTGGGAAATGAAGACGTGAACTACCAACAACATATATAGAGCGCCATCCTCAACAAGACATAATTAATTTGTAGCAGATCGATAAATTTGCTTGAGTTGCTTTGCCACATCAATCATCGTTGGTCTTTCTTCTGGTGTGTTTAGACATCGAAAGATAAGATCTATAAAGGCCTGCAACTGCTGCTCTTTCCCGGGATATGATCCTTCTCCGGTAATAATAGGATCTACTATCTCATTAAATGTATTGTTGTCAATATGTTTCTTCACGTAGGTAGCCCAAAAATATCGAACTGTAATATTATCTCCGATATGCTTCACCATACAGTCCATTAATATTGTAAAATGCTCATCTTCTCCCACAAGACGGCGGATTTTCTGTCCAGTGAAAAGCTCAAGTAGTACTATACCGAAACTATAAACATCGCACTTCTCATCACATTCATTTGTACGAAAGCACTCTGGTGCAATGTAATCCACTGTCCCAATTAGGGGATCATTTTTTATGTGGGTTTCACCTTCTGGAATAGGAGCTGATAATGAAAAATTATTGAGTTTGGAAACAAAATGTTCATCTAACAAGATATTTGAAGGCTTGATGTCTCTAAAAACAATTGGTCTGGGGAGTCCAAAGTGAATATATGCCACTGCATTAGCGATTTCCATTGCAATCTTCAACCTATGCCTCCATAGTAAAGGCTCAGAATTGAGTTCATGACGGCGGTGAATATGATCATCAAGAGAGTAATTTTCTACCCATTCAAAAACTAGAATGGGAATTTCAGTCTCCAAGCAGCATCCGATGAACTTCAAAATATTTTTGTGGCTTATTTTTGATGCAAATACAATGTTGTTAAAGCAAAAGTTTTGTACAGAATATTGTGTTTGAGGCTCTATATACTTCATAACAAAAATAAGGCGATCTAGGAAGCCTTTGTAAAACTTAAGGTGATAAGCATGACCTGGTATAAGTTTCTGTATCTGGTAGTTATTCGTTGCCCTCTTGAGCTCTTCAATGGAGAAACTTCTAATTGGATTTTGTTTACCATTAGACGAGGTAATCAACTTCTCTAATAAAATTGCGCCATTCCTTAAGAATGGTTTGCCATCTACCTTTTTCTTATCCTTCTGCTGAAAAACCAATTCATTCTAACCTGTTCATAATTCCATAAAATACTTTTTCACTTTTACAACTATGGAACAAGTGAAGCATATGTAAATTAAAAAAAAAAAAATTGTAAATATTGTCATTGCTCATAAGAAACAACTGAGGATGTTAAATTACCAGCGGATGGCCGGACCTTTCACAATCGACGGAGCTGGAGAGGCTTGAGTTTGATCAGATAACTTGTCGATAAAATCTGAAGCAGAACAAATATATAAAACAGAGAGGTGGATTTTTTATTATGGCAGAGGTGGTATGGAAGTCTTGCCGATCAACCATGACATATTCAAAGGGATAAAAGTAGTTGGTTAACAGTTAAAAGATAGATCTCAACCAAGATCACTGTCTAATGTGAAGAAAAGAGAAAACATTTGCTATACAGTTACAGTAAATTTTTACATCAGTCGGTGGGAAAAGTTCATGTACCTGTTAATGACCAATTCATGTGTTGAGATGAAGAAAACTGAGGAATGATTTGAGACAGCTCCAAGATTGACGCTTACACATAAAAAGATGAACCTGAAGCTGATTTTATATAACCAGAGATCTGGTTGTTTCTTGGAAATATAGAAGTCTTATAGTCAACATTTTAAAAAGTCATGGAAATTTCTGGGATTGACTTCACTCATGGTTGACTAGAAGAATTCCATACCTCTGATGGAGGCACAAAAAATCTACTACGATTTTTCATAAATACCCTTTTAGACAGTTAAAATAAAATTTGTGTAAGTTACAATTCTTGAAGATGGGTTTGATAAGATAGTGGATCTCATTATTCTTGGAGATGGACCATATTCTGGGAATAAGCTGCAAATGCAAGCCCTTGCAGAGCTAACCTTAAAATGGATAGCTGTCTCAGAAGAAGAAAAGCCAACAGTGATTGATGTGGCAAAGCAGCTCGGGCAAATGTATAGGCTCACTGAAGTGAGATAGTTTAAACTTGTTCTATGTAATTTAAGGATGTACACCTTTCTTACACCTTTCTTGTTTATTGATCTTTCTCATATATTATGACTCTCTATACATTGATGTGAGTTGTTTGTTACTATCTTCTTCAGCGATAAACCACTTACTAGATTAGATTTTTTGCATTAGCAATCTCCATTGCAACATTTTACCTATCTTTCAATAGTAAAGGCTCAAAATGGGGTTGATGACGACCATAAAACGATCAGCAAGAGTACCATTTCTCACAGATTCAGAAACAAGATGGGAGTTCAGTCTTTAAGCAATATCCAATCAAATTCAAACATTTTTGGCCTATTTGTGATGCAAATACAAGTGTGTAGAAATCAGATGATTCTGCAGTGTAACAACTGCTGTAAATAGTACAATGCAGCATAATAATAAGAAGATGGGCCCAAAACTTTCTTTTTATTATATGTAATAAGTTTTTATACACAAAGAGCATATTTACAAAATGCCATTTAACAAGACAAAACAAGGGAAACAGTGTAGCTATGCTCCTTGCTTGCCGACGCCCCTCCGACTGCATCATCACCTAGTTCCTGCACCCACAAAGGAAAAGACGGGGTGAGCATAGAATAATGTCAGTAAGTAAACCCTTATCTGTCTATCTGTATGTAATTCTTAATTCTTTCCTCACACTTTCTATTGCTTCTATTAAACGTCATGGCCTCTTACGGAGGTACGCCGGATGGCGTTCACACAGCACCATCTCGCTCTTCGTGACTGTCGGGTGGAGTTCACACAGCACCAACCCGCTCTTAGTGACTCGAGTGGGGATCACGAAGACCTACCCGGTTTTCGTAACTATCGGGTGGAGACCACAAAGCACCTACCCGTCCTCATGACTTTGGGTGACGATCACAAAGCGTAACGTCCTTCGTCTCAATAACGTGGGTGATGATTACAAAGCATCAACCCTTCTAATAACTAACGGGTGACGATCACAAAGCATCCACCCGTTTCTAAACTCTTCTCATTCATTACTCTAGCACTTCTCATTCTCCCTACCCTTAGAGTAGTTGCATTCACAAAGTTCTCTACTCATAGAGCAAATGCCTACACAAAGTTTCTACTCTTTCTTAAGTCATTTCTCAATACACAAGTAATGTCTAGGATGGTTCATCTCACTAAGCACTTATGAAATGCCAAAATGCAATGTTGCAAGAATTAAGGTTCACTACTCATACTCAACCTCTATTAGGCATTTCATCAAACAACTCAAGTGCATAATAAAACTCTATATAACAATAATTTCATGTCTTTCTCTAACCATCCAAAATGGGAAAAACTCCCTCACGTAGCCATAATATCCTGCCAAAGAATAACACTTCCAAAAAGGATTTCTCAATATCCTTCAATTCCATCTAAACTACATCTCCAACCCATATCTCACTTCTCACAATTGAAGTGCATGAACAACCACAAGCAATAATATCATTAGAACTCATTAACATAGCATATAACATACATACATAATTGCTATGAAAACCTCATCAAGAAAATTCTCAAATCTCAACTTGGGTTGGGGTTTAATACCTTGTGATGGAGAGATCTCACTAGCACTTCCTTTCTCTTGGTTTGCTTGATTTCTCTACCTTAAACAATTCAACCAAAGGCCCTTAATATTCAAAAACACTCAATTTCACAAACTTCACATCCAAAGCAAGAATCCTACTTAGGATGCCTTAGATTGCTTCCTCCAAATTACTCCAAAGCCCTCCTAAAAACCTTGAAGAAATGAAAGAGAAATTGAGAGGAAGTAAGAAAGGAGAGTGGGGCGGGAGAAGAAAATGAAGGGTTTGCAATGACTTGATTCCTTTTAACACACTTTATGCACAAGCCTTCCATTTTGCCCTTACTCTTCCTTAGGAACTCCATCTATATCTTTGATTCATTACAAACACACCCCCACATTAACATAATCTCCATGAAAAATCCTTTCAATTTACTCCCCACTTTTCCTACTAATTAGGGGTAGAATGGTCAAATTTCCCTTAGGGAAGAAAATATCTAAACTTAACAAACATTTTGGTTGGCACGTCGCTGCGGCGAGGAAGCTTCTGTCGCTGCGGCGAAACTATCCAACGGCTTCCGTGGCTTCAACACCTCTTCGCCCCGGCGAAGATTATTCTTCGGCCCGGCGAAGCCTGAAACACAATTTCTTCATTTTCAACCAATTTCAAGGCAAGTGTTCAACCTATCACTCAAAGGCCAACAAACAATAATACTAATGAATCAACTAAAAAAGAGCAAAAGAAGTAGCATTAACTGCGTACCTCAAGGGGGCGTACATGCAGGAAACCTACATACATTGTCAACTTCTTATGTGCAAATTGTTTGTTGCTCTATTGAGCTCATCAGCAGAAACCAGTAGAATGGATATATCTAATATAAAAGAAGTAATCAACTTCTGGAAATTGAATCATCTAACAGTTCACAAATCCCTGATACAATAACTTCAGCTTCTAATAACTAGCTAGGAACAGAAAAAGGCACATTAAATATCATTTTAACTGGACAATTGATACATTTGCTTAAGTTGTTTTGCCACATCAATCATTGTTGGTCTATTCAGCGATTCCCAAACACATTTAAGAATAAGCTCTGTCAAAGCTTATAATAGCTTCTCTTTATAGGACATGATTTGTCTCAAGAAGGATGGGATCTACTACCTCCTCAAACCTACCATCTTCAATGAATTTCATACATGATCAAAACCAATAATCAGCCTCCATTTTTGCTGCGCAAAGTCATATATGTGTGCCTGTCAAAAGCTCAAGAAGTATATACCAAAACTATAAACATCGCATTTCTCATTGCAATCACCTGTAATCATGTACCCTGGAGCAATATATCGCCACTGTTCCTGCTACGCCATCATTTATGTGGGTTTCACCTTCGGAATAGTCACAGAAAGTGAAAAATCAAACAGCTTGGCAACATAATTTTCATTGAGAAAGATTCTTGATGGTTTGATATTTCGAAAACAATAGGCCTGGGGAATCCAAGTGGAGATATGCAACTGCATTAGCTTCCCCATTGCAATTTTGAGCCTTTGTGACAATACTGGAGGCTCAAAATGGGGTTGATGGTATATATGATCAGCAAGAGCGCCAAACTGCAAAGGTTCAAAAACCAGAGGGAATTCTAGTCTCTAAACAACACCCAATCAACTTCAAAACATTTTGCAGATACTCATCCGCGATGAAAATACAATGTTATTGAAACAATCTTCGCAACCATCCATAATGTCATTGAACTTCATAATAGAAACTGTGCGGTCCTGCAGAACACCCTTATACAATCTATAGATATCCATCTCTTATAACTTTCTGCAGGGCATAGTTGTCTATTGCATTCTTGAGCTCGTAAGCAGAGAAACCGCGAATAAGATCACATTTACCATTACAAGAAGTAATAACTTCCATAAAATTTGGCCATTCTTCATCAAGAATACTGTTCACTGGTTTTGCAACTTCTTTCTTTTCCTCAGACACGAGTCATCTATAACCTGTCTAAACCCCAAAAATTATTAATTTATACACATAAAACTGGTTATAGTTCTAACGTTTTCATCTGTTGCAAGGAAATTACAGATTCTTCTCAACCAAGATCACTGTCTAATGTAAAGAAAAGGGAAAATATGCTACTACGTATATGAATTCACACAGCAGTTACAGAATATTTACTCAGTCAGGCTAAAGTGTTATGTACCTGTTAATGGCTAATTCAAGTATAGAGATGAAGAAAACAGAACAATGAATTTGAGAGAACTCCGCAATTGGCACTTACATATATATATATATATAAACAAACTGAATCTGAAGCTGATTTTACATGACTAGAAGCGGTGTTTCTTGGAAGTAAGGAGGTCTTGTATATCAGTCAACCACAATGATTAATTATTAATGAAAGTAAATTTATACACAGATAGACATACTAAGGAAAGCAGCAGATAAAGAGAATATGCACCTGCGGGTGATTGAACAAGAATCAACCAAAGAAAAGCTTGGAGGCGATTTTGAGACAAAGCTCTCTGCAATTGACACTTAAATATAAAATTTGAAGCAGATTAATGAATGTACATATTATAACCAGAAGTGTAGTTTCTGTCACAAGTATGGATGCCTTCCTTGTCAACCACGAAATGTAGCATGTAGTCTACATATTTATAAAAAGTGGGAGAAAAGTTGGCTTCCAGGAAATTTCCATCATCGATATTGATCCTGTGGCTCAAAGGAGTCAAACATGGTGGCCTAAAGAAAACAATTACTAAGAGTGAATGTGCTAGTATTTGCATGGTTTTAATTGTGAATATTATATAAGGGTAAAGTATAATATGACTTATAGTTTGAAACTATAATGATGGAGAGAAGACCCTTGTACAATTCTTAATAACTTCATATAAGACTTCCTGAAATAATAAGGCCTTTGAACATGTAAAATTTAAAGTGAAACTGTATCAAACACTGGAAAGATCCACAGACAAATCATTGATAAGTACATAAAACTTGAGAAACTATCCTAATCATGAATACAAAGTTAGACACATAAGCAGCAGCAACAGCACCAGCTAGATACATTTGCCTTGTGTTAGCCACATCCATCATTGTTGGCCTATCTTCTGCTATTCTGCTGATACATTCGAAAATTAGTAGGTACATTGTTCTCTTTCTCAGGATTCGATCCATCTCCACAAATTCAGGATTTACATTTGAATATGTTTCTTACATAATCCAACATTATGCAATCATCCTTCCTCGCAAGACGAGCAAGATCAAGGATTTTATGTCAGTCAAAAGCTCAAGTAGCAATGCGCCAAAACATATAACATCGCATTCTATTAATCAAATGGAGCATAATACTCAGGGGCAACAAACCCGATTGTACCCATCACTACATCATCTTTATGTGGGTTTCACCTTCTGGAATTGATTCGCTCACCGAAAAGTCGAAGAGTTTGGCAACATATTGTTCATCCAACAAGATATGTGATGGATTTATATCTTTAAAAACGACTGGCCTGGGGAAGCCAATGTGAAGATTTGTAAGCATTGGCAATTTGCGTGGCTATTTTTAACCTATGCTTCAACAACAAAAGGATCAACCTGGAGTTTATGATCAGGATTATGGATAAGATCGGCAAGAGTGCCATATTGTACAGATTCAAACACTAGAATGGGAATTTCGGTCTTAAGCAACATCCGATCAACTTCAAAACATTTTGTGGCGTATTTGTGACACAATACAATGTTGTTGAAACAATATTGGTACCCTGTACTTCCTTCAAACTTCAAGACAAAACTGGACGATTCTGAAGAAAACTTTTGAACAATTTATGGAATCTGCCATATGTTACAATTTTTGAAAGTCGTAGTTGTTTGTTGCTATCTTGAGCTCACTAGCAGAAAAACCCTAACTGGTTATATTTACCATTACAAGAGGTAATCAACATTTCTAAAAACTTTTCCCCATTCTTCAAAAGATTTTGTTGTGTACCTGTCCTCACAGTTTCTTCTTCTTCCGAAAATCCAGCCACTCAAACTATTCACAAATTGAAAAATAAACAAATGAAGTGATGCCTATACAAGACTTCTTAGCCAGGCGGGAAAAGATTGAATTCTGGTAAGGTAAACCACCGCAGAAAGATCAAGATATGTAAATTACATACCTGCAGACGGCCAATTCCGGCAGTAAAGAGAACGTTGGCTAGCTAGGCTTGAGTTTGAGAGAGATTAATGGACTTATAATATGCAAAATCTGAAGCAGAAAGAACATAACATATAAAGAAAGAAACTTGGATTACATAGCTTCTTACTAAGAGGTACAGAAGTCTTCCCCTGTCAACCATCAGTTATGTGATCTAAGTCTACCTTTTCATGCAGAGTCATGATCAGTACAGTTCCCATCAGTTATAATAATATAATTTTATCCAATAAAATAAAAATAATAAGTGTTTAGATCAGAGAAAAATATTTTTTAATTATAATAATAGTTAAAAATAATAATATAAAAGATGCAAATCATAAAATTAAGAAAAAAAAAATGTTAAAACAAAATAAATAGGTGTATTTTATTAGATAAATTATTTGTTTACTCTATCCCTTTGTTTCCCATGTTCAATTATCATGTGACAAAAAAAAAAAAAAAACCTCATTTGTTTTTTTTTTATATTTCATCAAGTTTTAGAGCATTTTCAACTTTACCCCTCCATTTAACTTACATATTACGCTAACAGTGGTTAGTTTTTTTCGTTGAAAATGTCTCTATATTATAACGTTTATGCTTATAATATCACTTGTTTTATACCCATTACTTTTTTATGAAAGGAAAGAAGAGTATATAGAAGCCATATATACATTTTATATATATGTAATTGGAGGGGACAAACTAAAAAATATTTCAAATTAGATAATGATAAATAGACCTCTAAAGTCTAAACAAGGCTTTAAAACCCGACCCGGGGAGTGACCCCGATTAGGTCACTGGGTCACCAGGTTGACTGATTGAACCGGTTCAATCGTCGAGTTAAATCGTGATATCATCATGCTGATGTCAACGTAATGACGTAATTCTCGCATCAACATGACATGTTAAAAAAATAAAATAATAAAAAAGTTGTTCAACCGCTGGGTTGAACCAACGGTTCGTAACAAAAGTCTAACTGCTGTTCAAATTGGTTCATTTGAAAATTCTGATTTTTTAGTCGAACCGACCCGGCTCGATCATCGGTTCCTGGTTCAACCAGTTGAACCAATAGGGCTGGGTCGGGTTTTAAAACCATGCCCCTAAATCCTTTTTTTTTAGTTAAAAACATAATTGGTTTCATGTATAATATTTCAGGTAATTGCATTCATATCCAAGCAGGCAATTGAACATATGAAATTAATTTTAAAAGGAATACTACTCAAACCCCCAACTCAAACTTAAACCTTGTGTTTTTGGGTAAACCTCAGCCCCTTACTTTTATGTGTTATTTCTGTTTAGTCTTTAATTTTTTATTAATGAAAAGAATTATCTGTCTATATAAAGATAAATACTTATAATTTTTGATAGAGTTAAAAGAGATTGACACCGTGAAATGTTATGCAATAACAAACTCTTCTCAGGTTTTTAAAATAACAATATTTTCTGTTGTTTTTATTCTGTTAGAATCTTCACTATTATAAGTTAATAAATATTTAATAAAAAATTGCATTCCTATCGTATATTTTAATACTTAAAACTAAACGGCGGTTTAAAAAAATATCAAATTTTAAAGTAAAAAAATTTGTTATCTTGTAATATTTTTAGACATAGATTTGTTATCATGGGTTGTATCCTCCTTAAATTATACTATAAACTACTAACCGATCTAAGATCACTCCAATGGACATAACTAATCACTCGAATGGTTGGAAAACGTTTTGAAATGGTGGAAGCATATTATAAATTAATATGTGCGTGCAACAAGTTTCTTCAACGGGACTCGATCGATGGCAGGAATTCTGAACTTCCCTGTAAATGTTGTATTCCTTCATCTAGTTTTTATATTTTCCGCAGCCGTCGGTCCGGAGGCTTCAGAATCCATAGGATTTACCCTCAGGGTCATCCCAGCTGACTCCCCGGAGTCCCCAATTTATCATGGCAATCTCACACAACCTGAAAGAATGGAAAAACTGGCAAAAATCTCCCTGGTTAGACATCAAATATTACATAATCCGCGTTCGACTGCATCACAGAATGATGGTTTCGACGATGAAAAGTATGTAACGCCTCTAATTACTCAGGCTTACTACTATGTAGCGGAGATTAACATCGGAATGCCATCTCAAAAAGTGTTTTTAGTGGTTGACACCATTGCCGGACTGATTTGGACTCAGTGTGAGCCTTGCACTTTTGGTTTTTGGGGATGTCATCCACAGGAGGCTCCCCTTTTCGATCCGAAAAAATCCGCCAGTTATGCCAGGCTTTCCTGCACGGACCGCCTTTGTCCTATTAATAAAGGAAATATGGATAACAAGTTCTTCAAATGTAAAAACAACAATTGCTCCTACGAAATTTACTATGGATATCGCGGTGTTATAAAGGGGATCACAGAGGGAATTGCATCCACAGACTCATTCACTTTCACGAATGACACAAAAGATACTGTAGATCTTGGTCTTGTCTTCGGCTGCTCTACTTATACCCACAATCTCCCAATTTTTATTAACAAATATAATAAGATTACCGGGATCCTGGGATTAAACTTTTCGCCACTGTCACTCTACAAGCAATTGTTTTACAAAATCGGTGGCAAATTCTCTTATTGTATTGCTTCTCTCGAAGACCCCCTTGGAGCCTTTCAAACTCATAACTTGAGGTTCGGGGATCAAGTTAAAATACCTTCGAAACCTATCCCAACGACGCAGTACATTGTACTGGCTGACTCTGATGTTTGTTTCCTGGATGTTGTTGATATAAGTGTTGGACCTATTCGCTTAATGTTGCCAGAGGGTATGTTCGACGCCGCGAAGGGTAGAGGAATGATCCTGGACCCAGCATCTCCGCTAACTGTTCTCAGGCTTGATGTTTACCTGTTGCTGATCGCTGGACTGAAGGCATACTATGATGCTCAGGGAATGATTCAAGTGCCTCTCAAAAATAACCCTACACATTTTCAGCTTTGTTACTTTATCAGACCGACCATTCATCCAACCTTGACCTTCCATTTCCGGGGAGCAGACTTCGTAGTGAGATCTTCATATGTGACTGTTCTTTACTTAGATGTGGGTGCTTTCTGTGTAGCATTGCTTCCAGGACTGGGAGGTCACTCTAATCTGGGCGCATTTCATATGCAAAACATACGCATCATTCATAATGGGTACAACAGATCAATCCAGTTTTATAACACTGATTGTGGTGCTGATCGTTTTTAGAATGTTCAGATTCTTGACGTTTGTTAGTATTTGTATTGCCATGTTCATATTCCCCATAAAATGGCTTAATCCTAACTGTTGTATTCTAACTAATGTTTTTATGTTATAATCTTAAAAACATGTATAACAAATTTGGTTTTTCACAATTTAATTTGCAAGTAGGATTCTTTCTTAATTATTGAGTACATGGGCATCCCAGTGGACCGCAAAAATATCGTGGATTTATCATTTATCTCTTACCCATCTTAAATAGTGGATCTTAGAACGCATCCCTTTCAATTGGAACCTACCTCATATAGTGTGTAAAAGAAAAATCACAGTATCTTGACATATATATTGCATCCGTGTAGAAACCCTAATCAAGAATGAAAATCTGAAAACAAAAACAGTATCCTCTGTTTTCAATAGCTCTGCAGTGAAGCAAATCTTATTTTGAAAGTATTTTATTTGACTTTATTAAATAAAATCAACTGCATTATATATAAAGACACATACACTTCAGAAATTACACCAACACAATGCACTAGAGAAAATCCACAAACAATAAGATGGTTGCTGCTCCTGATAAAATTAGACTAAGTTCAGAATTTTTTTTTTTTGACATTGAAGGTCCAACATGGAGATATGCAATTGAATTAGCTATCTCCATAGCAATCTTTAACCTTTGCATCAATAGTAAAGCCTCGACATCGGGTTGACAACCATAAATAATCTGCTCAAGATTCCCATACGAAAAAGATACAGTTATCGAAGATTATATACCGAATTCATGCATCGAATAACATGGTAAAATCCTGACCGTCGATTAATATTAAGTTAAAATTAATCAATAGTTAGGATTTTGTCACGTCATTCGGTGCATAAATTCGGTACACTACTTCAGTGACTGTAGCATTACTCATTCCCATATTCAACATATTCAAAAATTAGAATGGGAATTCTGGTCCCAAAGCAACATCCAATCAACTTCAAAACATTTTTTGTGAGAACTAATTTGTGATGCAAACACAACGGGTGCGTTTGGTTCATTATTTTGGATAGGATTTTAGGAATAATATTGAATAGTTTGATAGGATTATGATTACGAGAATATGATTTGCAGAATATGTGTTTGATAGAGTATTTTGACCTTGATATTTGTGTTGAATATTTGATTAATATATTTTTTTATAAATGATTTATTAATATAATATTTTGTTGCATTTTGTTAAAATAATGTATTATTATATATATAAAACTTATCAAGTTATATTTTAATAATATTAAATATTTTATTAGTAATTTTGTCACTCGTAGATATTAAAAAACAAAAACTTATATTAATTTCAAGTACTAGTCCAACTATTTAAAAACATCACATTAATACATATATGACAAAAGTACTAATTATCAACCCTTACAATCATTATTACACGTATACTTCATTAACAACTATGACATGGTCCACTATGCTGCTCACAATGCATTCATTATGTTATCACATCCAGTCGTCATGTTGTCTATAATACTTGTTGCGGTTAACTCGGTCCTTCTCCATTTCGGCCATATTCTGCCCCGTTTTGACGATCACAATATGCTTACTCATTACCCGTACTATTATTGGTTTGTTCGAAGATACGGTAGCCCATATTATACATTCGGATAAAATTATGAAGTACACAACATGCCATAACAATCTTCCCTTGTTTGTCCAACAGGTAATTGTTCATTTCATTTAGAATATGGAACCGTCTTTTTAAAACACCAAAGGTTCTCTCGACAACATTGCGGAGTGAAGCATGTATGTAGTTAAACAACTCTTGTGACCCCCTTCGGTTATGGCGGTGATCAGAAATATGGTAAGCCACTCGCCTATGAGGGGCGAGGAACCCATCTCTATTTGGATAACTCGCATCAACCAAATAGTATTTCCCTGTAATAATATCAGACACTTTATTTGAATTATTGGGCCTCAACAGTGGAGCAAATACGTTATAATACGTCAAGAAAATACTTATACCTGGTAGAGGATGTGGAATCCAGAATTAGGATCATCCAGAATTGAATTTAAAACTCTTGAATCATGCGCAGATCATTCCCATCCTGTAATGACATAAGTGAACATTATCTTAAAGTCGCATACAACCATTATATTCTGTGACATCATTCCTTTACGATTCCGGTACCTATCGGAAAATTCACGTGAAACCGAAGCGTATACATGTGTGCCATCCATGGCTCCAATACATTCTTATTATGAAAATTGAATTTTACTAATATTAACCTACTAAAAAAATTAATAACACAATGAACTTAACTATCTACTAATAGCAAACATAATGAACCAGTACCTTAAAGAAAGGGTAATATTTTCTGTTGACTGATATTTCCCATGGAACATCATTGAAGTCAGGTGGTCTGATAAACTCTGTCTTCAACTCACATATAGCATCACAAACTGCGATAACATGTCTAGAGATCGTCTCACCCAAATGTTGGAAATCCTTCATCATCGTTCTGATCGTCTTGTTTTTTCCAACGATTGTTAAAAATATCATAACTTGTTCTTCCAAACTCGTCTTCCTGGTTGGTTGCAATTTGCCTTGATCGGACAAAAATTCACATAACAATGTAAAACAGTCTTTGTCCATGCGGCACTTGTCATAGATCTTGTCAGGATGACCGTTGAGTACTTCCAACATCTACTGATGACCAGTTAATACGGATGTATGTCGTGGTCTACGCCCACTTGCTTCTAACGCGGCAACACTACAGAGTGCAACAGCTATATCTGTCAGTATTTCTTCTTCGTCCCTCTCATTTGTAGCACATCGTCTTCTTCCTGTACGGCTAGACGATGTCATTTAAACCTACACATGTGCAAAACATTTATCAATAATTAACAGTTGTTGTACTACTTAGCAAAATATAACAGTCAATATTTAGTAATGACAATCGAGAACGGTGTTTACACATGTAATATCACATAAATAAGTTCATACAGTAGCGTTATAAATTGTAATTGTAATGACAACTCCCCACTGACGCATACAAAATTGTTGCCAAACACTTATGAAATGTAGTGTCATCTACTTATTATTGGAAAAGTTGTTATAAATCCAGTTAGCCTTTTCTTCCAGTGGGAGTTTCACGAATATCTCTCGCCACCCTGGATTTTCATATAAGTACGTGACAACCGACAGGTAAAACTGTGTTGGTACTTGCATGGTCGTCATGATGTCAATACAATTGCTCATGGAAAAAGGATCAGATGGAACATTGGTGTTCTCTTTTTCCCTCTCATCTGCAATGCGATTACTAGCCCTCGATCCCATAGTTCGCTTCTCCGCAAGCNCCCACAATTTTCAACGCCTCTCAAGCAAACCGTGTCCAGTATTTGACCCCGATCGATATCTCTCATTTAACTTAATTTGCAGTTATAGCGTCTTCAACTCTTCCTAAATCAGAAAACCATGACACAAACTAATGATAATGGAAGTAAAACACAAGTACAACTTTCTAAAGACCTTTTTCACAAGACTGAGTAGCTAAAAACATGCAAGTCAAATTTATATCTTCGAGAAAATGTGCTACTCAATTATACTCTGTTCAAAACAAATAAAAAAAAGAAAAAGAAAAAAAGAAGTTAAGAAACAAGATCATACGCCATTTCAATGCATAAAGCAACATCCATTAGTGATTTGTATAACATGATTTAATCATTACTTCCTCCTAGGTGGTCATCAACTTCATTCATTTCAGTTTGTCCAATTAAACAATCAGAACTGATACAAGAAGCTCTAAGCTGTATTAAGAGCTGAATAAGTTCAGGACCAAAGGCACTCACATTAACAAGCAACAAAAAAAGAATAAAAAATTTTTTTTAAAAAAATCTATTAATTATCTTCTTTTTTTTGTTTTTTTTTTGTTTTTTGTTAAAATCCAATGCCCAGTTCTGAAAGATCAATTTTCCCTTGATATATATCAAATAGTTGTGGAACCTGTTCCTGATACTTGGACAAGAAATTGTCTGCGAAGACCTTTTCAGAGGAATTCAGCACATAAGACAAACCGAATTTTTTCTTGATCAAGTCGTTCAACAACAAAACCCTGAAAACTCTGTATCTCGGGATGATTCTCTTCTCCAAACTAAGAGTTAAAGCCACAGAGGTTCTAGCAACCGCTGAAGGTTGCCAACCCATCTTGTTCACAAAAAAGTCCATTTTGGTATTTATATTCTCCACAGACAGAATCATACATCTGGGACAGCTTCTAAAAGCTAACAAGAAGTCATTCTCAGACCAACCCCAACTCCTGTAAACCTTCAGTTTTTGTTCCCAGGAATTTTCAGTCATGGTCGTAACTGCTACAAGTGCACCAATAAATGCACTGGTTGAAGGATTGAATCCCATGTCGATAACCTTCTTGACACTTTTATCAATCTTTTCAGAACTTCCACACAATACACAAGGATTTGAGGTCACCAAAGCTGAAATACCTGATTGTGTCATTCCAATTCCTTTCAAGGCAGAGATATTGGGAACAACTCTCTTTTGCACATCATGCAAATAAGTTGCTCGCTTCCAAACATTAACGATTTTTTCATTGTTGGAAACCAAACTCTTGAGGAAATTATAGTTAGGGATAATTTGTTTCTCTAATCTATGACATAAAATAGAAGGTTTTGACGACAGTACATTCGCAAGGTCAGTACCAGAAATCCCCACAGAATGGAAAAACTCAAGCTTAGGTAAAAGAGTTTCCTCAAGCCTGCCTACAAGCAATTTCGGTTTTTTTTTAACTAGTTTTGATATGTGGGCATCGGTAAACCCATTTTTTCTGAGAAGGCGAAGTACAGAATCTGGCTTTTCTGAGGTTTCAAAAGCTACTTTCTTTGATAAAGAAGCGGCAATTTCTGGGGACAACCCACATGAGTTTATGAAATAAGACACTGTGAATGAATGTTGTTTTGTTTGTTTTTCTCTATCATGTGCCACAACTTCAACCGATGAGAAAGACTTAGAAAAAAGTGATGTATTCTGCAAAACAAAACTCAAATGGATCGACGAGTATGCCCAATTTGGGACTAGTTGAAATTGCGGTCTTTTGCAGCACAAACGAAACATGGCCAAATCAAATGCAAATTAAGAAAACAGAAGAAGAAGAGCAAGAAGGTACTCACGAATTATTCAGCTTGAACTCGGTATTTGATTGCGAATCTTTATACAAATGCCCTCGTAGAATGGCAACGCACATTTCTGATAAACTGCTTTTAGGGTTTTCACTTTTCAAATTCACGTCCTGCGTTATTGCTCTCCAGCATGAGACCAAAACGCACCGTATGTTCAAGTTGAAACTTGAAAGGTCTTGAATCTAGGGCTGTTGTCTTTCGTGGCTCATCTAATTAAGAGAGAATGACAATTTCCCACCCAAGCTTTGGTGTAACTAGCTCCCACCCAAAAACTTTGAGAAAGACAATTACGCACCCATCGTTAAAATCCATTTGTTAACTTTTACCCAAGAGTACAATTATTTGCAATTCCAAATCGATACCCAAATCCAAAGCCCACGCCATCATGAGTTTCTTCAAATCTATGTTTTTTCAACTGATACTAATCCCCAACCAAAACCCGACTACGAATCCTCCAACACCAAATTACTACCAGATGAACAAAACCCAAATCCCAATACTCCTCCCAAACCCCAATCTAGCAATGATAGTGGTGTTGATGGCTGAAGTTTTAATGGTTTAATCAAAACCCTAACTGTCAAATCTGAATCAATTGTTGAAACCTGTTATTGCAATGTACAAGAGTTCAGGACGGGTCTAAGAAAGGAACTTGAGGTGACCCAGAGATCTATAAGGAAAATCAGTACCATCATTAACGAGTTTGGAAACACTGTTTTGAAAGGGACAACCTAAATCATTTCTTATGGTAAGGATGCTATCTTAGCAGTTGATCACAAATCCAATGCATCTGATTATAATACTAAATAGAATAATAATAGTTGGCAACGTAAACCATATAGTTTTTTTGATGCTCATGTTCGTGTGATTCAAGGAGATGTAAATACATATTGTGTGGAAGATGATGATTTAAATGATTATAATTGAATGAGGAATTGGGAGCTTGTTTAAACAAAATAGCGGTGCTTGGTTGGGATGAGATTGAAGATCTTAGCAACATTGATGAGAAGAAAGTGACTCATGCTAGGAGCCCAAATAGAGCTTACTTAAGGAAGCGATTGAGCGTTGCAGAAGAAGAGGAAGACTTGAGTTGGGATATTGAAGGTATGGGCCAGAGAGATTTTTAAATCGTTGATTTTTCGGCTTCCATTGAATTTACCATCTTGTACTTCTTCGGTTAAAGTTAACGATGTGTGGAAATTTGTTTTTCTTAAAGTTTTTAGGGGCAAAATATAATTACACCCAACCTTGGGTGGGAAATTGTCATTCTTTCTCAAAAACAATTGTAATTTTATCACATCCCTAATTTGATATAAAATTCAAAACACATAAAAAAAATGAGCAAACGACTTTCTCCCACTCAAATAATGGTTTAATGATACTTTTATACCCACAAACTTTTAAAATACCACTTTACTACCCGAATTTATCTTCTGTTTCTGATTTCGACATCGTTGCAACCCCACAGACCACCATTCTTTTCCCAATCATCACTCACCAAAACCGTTTGTGCAACCGTGCCTCCCAAGTCAAATTCCAATCAATCCCAACCACCAAAATCCAACCTTCCACCACCAAAAGACTCATCAGCCTCCCCTCTTCAATTCACCGCCAGGATATGAATTTGAGTAATAAAATGATATTTTAAAAGTTTGTGGGTGAAAAAGTGTCATTAAGCCATTATTTAAGTGGAAAAAAGTAGTTAACTCTAAAAAAGATGTACAAAATCCCTACTTAATGATATAGTATTTATTTAAGTATAGTTTTCTATATCAGCTTGTAGGCTCCTTGTTCCGGTTACTATAACCTTATTACATTCTTTATGACTTTTTTTTTTTTTTTTTTTTTTTTTTTTNCTCAGCAGGTTTTACACATGAACTTAGGCTCAAATTTTTTTTCACCAACCCCTTTGATTGCAGAACTTTAATAGCCAAACACCTTCGGATTACCCTCTTTTCCAAACTCATTAGGAAAACGTCTGGAGACAAGGCAATATCTGTGGACTGCCAACCCATCTTGTTCACAAGAAAATCCATTACATTCATTATTTTGATTTCAGAGGCATTCATAAAATTGGGCCATTTTCTGAAAACCAACATAATGTCCTCATCACCATCCCCACCCCCTGAAAACGTCCAATTTCTGTTCCAAGTTGATTGACTCATTACAACAAACACCTTCATCGCATGGATTTTTATGGATTTTACTTCCACCAGCACCTGTTTGGAAACTTTGTATACTTCTATTTATACTAGTTATATTAGTATAAATATTAATGTTGAGCCTCTCCTACAAGTTATATTAGACTTCTATGCCAAGTGGCAACTCAATTATTATTTGCATGGACTCTTGGATATATATAACTTTTATTAACTCTATGCTGTCAACAATGATGACAATGTTCTATTTTAATATTCTATTATTTCAAATTTTATAAAACACTCTTAATTTAATTATATTGTGATGTTCAATGTACCTTCTCATCCGACCAAATGTATACCGTTTGTCATCCAACGTTGTAGCACATCCAAATGTTTAGGCTATTCGCCTATAAAGTGGTACGTGAGTTGAGTTCAAAATATCGTCATATAATATAGTCCACACATGGTATGGTGTTATTCAAAAGAAGATTGCAAAAGTTTTATATAGAAATCCAAACCAATTGATCGATCAAGGAAATGTAATGTTCAGTTATACTCTGTTAAAACAAATTAAAAAAACTAGAACACAAGATGTGTCTTTGAAGCACTATTCAGAGGACATCAGCACAGAAAACAGACTAAAATTCACTTTAAAATATAGTTCTAATTAAGCAAAACACTACCTATCAATCCCCTTCACTGATGTCCCGAGTCTCAATAAACATATCCTCTTTTCCACAAGGAATTTAACTTCACCACTGCATACCTGAAATGCACCTCCAGTGCAATGGAGATTGATAGAATATTGCAATTACAATTGTACAGGAGCACACATCAACCAAACAAAGAAGTTGCACAAGCAAAAATATCTATAATATAGTTCAAATCAATCAAATATCACTCATTCATCTCTTTCTCTGACCCCCAAGCTTCACTGTAATTTGCTAGCAAGGAAGGGCTTGTTAGAAACTTTAGGGACCCAGAGTAAAACAAAACCACATTGTTCAATAAACTACAACACTGANCCGTTGTCTTATGTGGCTCATTTAATTAAGAGAGAATAACAATTTCCCACCCAAGGTTACGGGAAATAATTTTCCAACCAAAAACTTTGAGAAAAACAATTTCCCACCCATCATTAAGATCCCTCTGTTAACTTCGACTGAAGAAGGACCGCATGTTAAATACACTAGAAGCCGAAAAATCAACAATTTTAAAATTTCTCTCTCGGTCTGTGTAACGAAACTTCCCAAGGGCAAAATTCTTTTTTCATTTCCAAATCCAAATCCATACCCAAGCGGCCAAACCCTACTCTATCATGAATTTATTCAAATCCATTTTTTCCGACAATATTGATTCCAACCAAACCCGACTCCGAACCCTCCAACAAAAAATTATTGCATGATGAACAAAACCCAGAATCCCAAAACTCCTCCCAAACCCCAACCTAGCAATTGTGATGGTGGTGATGGCTAGAGTTTTGATGGTCATTAAAACTTACCGTTGCGATTTGCAAGAGTTTGGGACAAGTATAAGAAAGGAACTTGAGATGGCCTAGGGATCCATAAGGACAATCGATACCGTCATTAACAAGTTTGGAGACACCGTTTTGAAAGGGACGGCCCGGATCATCTCTCACCATAAGAATGCTATCCTAACGGTTGATCACTGACTTCGATTCATCTAATAATAATGCTAATCAGAATGATAATAGTGGGCAATGCAAACCGTATAGTCATTTTGATGCTCAGGTTTTTACGATTTAAATACATACTGTGAGGAAGTTAATGATTTAAATGATTATAATAAGTGGAGATCTAGGTTTCTTTGGGTATGATATATTGAAGAAATTGAAATCCGCCTCCAGTGCAATGGAGATTGATAGAATATTGAGAGTACAACTATACAGGAGCACACGTCAACCAAACAAAGAAGTTGCACAAGCAAAAATATCACAGCATCATATCCATAATATTGTCCAAGTCAGTCAAACTCATTCATCTCTTTCTCTGACCGCCAAGCTTCACTGTAATTTGCTAGCAAGAAAGGGCTTGTTAGAAACTCCAAGGACCTGGAGTAAATCAAAACCACATAGTTGAGATTCAGTTCTGCATCTACTAGTCATGTAACAAATTAGCTTAAAAGTTTACCACATTCTAAATATGAACTAAAGTATACAATCAAATGCAAATTGGAAAGCGATGAAAACAGTGTTGCTCTGCAGAACTAACTGAAGTAATTCAACATTGTTCAATAAACTAAAANTCTTTCTATTAATATCATTGTTTTAAAAACTGGATCGCCCCTTGACCCGGTCAAGGAGCTGGTTCTAGGGTTGACCACTGGTCAATCTAACCGATATACAAACAGACACATATCTAAACAATTCCATCGGTCCTTATAAGTTTGAAAACTAGCAAATATACCCCTAAAATTTACCCATAAGTCCTTGTAATTTAACAAATGCACCTGCAACTTTTATTATTAATTATTTTTTCTCTCCCCCTAGCACTTTCATCTTTCTCCTATTTTCTCTCTCCTCGTCTCTTTCTTCTTTCTTCTATCACTTTCCCTTCTCTCTCCTTTAACTTTTTTTTCTCCTCTTCTCTTTCTTCTTCCTTCGTCTCCTATTTTCTTTCTTCTAGTGTTCTTCCTTCCTCTATTCTTGTTTCTTACTCTTTCTCATAGTCTCCTCTTCTCCTTCTTCTTCCTTCCCCTCCCTTCCTTCTTCTTCTTTACATAGTAGATTTTAGAGTAAGTGCAGAAGCATAGAAGATGAAAATGGAAAATGCAATTTGGTCTTTGGAGATGAAAATGGTATTGAAATGAAATGGAGAATGCTTGCTGGCTCAATGAAATGGAGAATGAAATGATTATGCAAATCTGGTTTAGGAAATAGGAATAGGAGTTTTCTAGGGATCAAATTAACCCCAAAATAGTAAACCGTTTTAAGCCCCGGACTAGTTGGACCGGCGGTTTTATACTGTTCCACCAGACTATTACCGTTCCAAAGCGGGTTTT